CCCAGGCAACCCTGAAAAGCCCAGGTGTCCTAAAGGAATCGTTTTCGGGAATTCCCTAAAAATAAACAGTACAATCCTATAACTGTCCTGTCCAAGGAAGTACAGTAAATCAGCAGGGTTTGTTCTGTCTGTTTTATAAAGGTTTTTCTTTTTCTTTTCCAAGTGATCAGAACATTTCTGGATGGAAATATTCACCATTGGAAAATAGATTCAGTTGATGTGTCTGGGAAGGTTCTAAGACGTCATCCAGGTTATTTTAACCCTAAAAAAGTTCATTAACAGACAACTGGTTGTTGTTAAGACAAAGTGCAGGAAAACATTGTAGTTTCACCCAAGCCACAGAGCCTCACCGAGCACAGACCAGTAAAAAGAATGAACACTTTTGCATACAGTACTTTCCTTGACATCTTTCCATATTAATAATCCCATTATTGAGATCAGTCAAATAAAAACAGGTGTGAAACACGTTTGTCTTCCTGTTTTACCCATTTCTTAAAAAAAACAACTCTATAAACTTCAGAGAAGTCAAACATAAGATTATTGTTTTATATATATATGTTAGGCAACAACTATAAAGAGTGAGTTGAGCTCCATGTTCTGATATTTACTACAGAATACTGCCGTCTGTGTCATTGATTTTGTCTTGTGTTGAAACCAAACCACTATACTTTACCTGATAGCTCCTTTTTGCAGGTCAAATGGTGTACAATAAAAAAGAATTTTCTCCCAGCATGTATCAACTTTATTGATGATTTTGATGAAGTCCTGCCAGATACAGTATATGTCAGTAATGAAACAACGGCAGCACTTCAGCTGTCAGTGGAAGCAGGTGAATTTAAACAAAGTGATACATCATTCTTTTCACAGCTATAGGATTTTTTTTTTCTTCTTCTCTGAACAAAGTTGATGTCAACGGCTGTACTCAAAGTGAGGCTTTTCTGCGTTGTTAATTTATAGCATAATGTTTTAAAATAAACCGTTCTTGACAGCCTTTTTCACTCTCCCTCCTGTACTTTCACACAGCCTGCAGTGGACATTATTCCTAGGATTGATTTAGTTTTCCTGGAAGCAGCAGAGCCCCTGGAAGATTCCCAAGAGTGGAAAATAAGACCCAGTCTAATGCCGCTGAACCTCTGGCTGGGAAAGTTTCAGGACACACATCAGATCCATCCACAGGTTTAATGGCCGTACTCAGATTCAAACAGAGCAATAATAAAACTGCACCTCAAACAGCCTTTGGCTATCATTCCAGTCTGGTATGGTTTGGCCTGGTCGTCTTTGGATCACCTAAAAAAAAAAGATATAATCTGTTTGAAAGCAGAGCACTAAACTAAAACTTAAAAGTAACTGGGAAACAGCGACTTCTAATGGTTGGACTGCGGATTGACACTAAGGCCTCCTCTGCACACTCTTTTTTTCCAAGCACATTAGGAACTCTGGTGGCTGTTTTAAACCATAAGAAGTTCATTTTCCTCCATTAGCGTGACAAGTTTCTCCTATAAAATGCACACTAAGGCTGGTTTGTTCATTCGGGCTGCTGTAAAACATGACAAAGGTGCCGAACAGGGGACTCTGAAAGAAAGCCCCGGGCACAAAGTCCTTACAAAAGGCTTATTCTAAGGCTAAGAAAAACAAACACTTTTATTTTTTAAATGCAATGATACACAAACACATTCATCTTAGCTACAGCAGTATTCTTAATTTAACTTATGTTAAAAACTAAGTGCTATATTTACTACACTACTAGGAAAAACAAACCTGCTTGATTTGCTTACACCAAAACAACAATAAATGTAACTCATTTAACCATCCTCTGCTCCAGCTACCTAGCTATCTAAAGCTACTAAGGTGAGCTGCAAGTGCTAAGGAACATGTTTATTTCAAATTATTCTCATTCATTTTTCCTAATTGGTACACACTGGATCTTTTACTGCTTTATGACCTGTTTCAGACATGCTGCAGACTTCCAGTGACTGACACATGGTTACTGTGGGGTGGACTGGTGGGCTCAGTGGTGAGGGGTGGAGGGTGGGCATGTTTAAACCGCCAAGCAGGATGCAGAGCAGAAAGATGCCCATTCATATCGACTGCATGTTCATATCCGTAGTGTGTATGTGAGTATTCTTTGTTGGGATTCAAACCCTCTCATCTGAATGTCTGCAGCAGGGAGGACCACACACGGTGGGGGAAAGACACCAACAAACACATTCTTGTCCTACTACTGTAACTGTCGAAGTCGTGAGGACACACATTAGGACATTTGTCAGACCCTTCGGCCCAGCCTGAACCATCACAGTTACATTCCTAAAGGTGACCCTTACCCACAATCTGGGTCAGAGGAGACCTTTGAAGTGGTGACGACACACAAAAATGTCCACACGACAATCACTCCGAAGACAAATTCAGCCCAGGAACACAAACACAAACATCACTGGTTTAATGACAGGAGCGCAGTGTTATCAGTACATTCCCCACTTCCAATGAGCAGAAAGAAGGAAAAGGGAAAATGATAACAGTGAGATGTTATCATGGAGGTCATGACCTTTTGTTCCTTCATCTTGTCCAGACATTTAGGTTATGTTTTTTTCTCCTGTCGATATTTCCATATTTGGGGCTGCACAGTGGAGGAATGGTCAGACCTCTTGCCTAACACTAAACTCACCGGTTCTATTTTTAATAGTAACTGATGCTTTGATTATCAAAGGTTTTGGTAGTTTAACAGTGAGCTACAGACAAATGCGTTTCTTTATAATAAAAAAAAGAAGAAGCGCTACGACCTCCTTCCACCTCCTTCTCTGACATGTGATAACAGCCCCAGAAATAAGAAGAGAAATTAATGCAGGAAACAGAGAAAGCAAAGGTGAGATGAGGAAAAGAGAGGAAAATATCAAAGACGTAACGGAGAGGAGGAGGAGGAGGAGGATGAAGGAGCCATGGAGAAAGAGCTGATGTATAGACCAGACAGGGTCACATCTGTTATTTCACTGAGCATGGACCAGTCCTCAGACAGAGACAAAGCAGCATAAGTGAGGTATCAGTGGTAAAAGGAATGGTTGGAGATGATGCAAAAACCACAGATGAACCTCAAAGAACCTCAGATGTGAAGAAGTGAATAGAAATATAGTTTGAGATTTGAAGAATAAAGAATACAGGACGTAAACACTTTTATGTACTGTACATTAAAAGAGGAGGAGGAGGAGCAATGGATCAATCTTTTTACCAACTCCCTCTTTTTACTGCCAAAAGAGAAACATTCCTCAGAGTAATGACTGAGACCACGACTAATGAAAACGACCTTCTCAGGTTGTCCACTCACATCAGCACATCTCTCCTCAGTACGAATGCGTTCTCCATGTTCCATGAAGCCCAGATATGAGGAGTCTCAGAGCCAACATTTCAAACGTGAGTCACATCGTCCATGATGTCATCGCCGTACTCTCCTGCTGTTGTTCCTGCAGAGAGCACGCTCATGAAAGTGACATGACTGTCTGCTGCAGACAAACAGAGAAGATCTCACATTTCATTCCCACATCAACTCAAACCATTGTCCCAGACGGAGACAGGACACATCTGCTGAGCAAATCTGAGCCGTTCAGAGAAAAACTAATGATTTCAATTTGCAAACAAGCTCCCCAGGCTGAGAATAAAAACCACAGATGTTGCAGGGATGTGTTTTTGCCTTTAACCACCAAATAAAATTCACCAAAGAGCACAAACACAACTTTCCAAATGATGGCAGCCATGCAGTTCCACTGTACTGCAGGTCCAATGCTATGTGCTCAATTTGTCCTATTCACAAACATCAAATATAATAATGAAGGGAGCAAATGTAAAGAGGCCAAAGAGCGACATGAGGCCCAGGAGCCACAGGTTTGAGACCCCTGCACTCTGTAAATCAACAGATGTCTACGACAGACGTAGACTGTGCCGTCACATGATCAAAATAAAAACATGAATATATCAAACTGTGTATTATTTGAATGGCTTGGCATTTGCTGTAAAATAATAAAATATGTTTATACACAGCACTGGCTCCAGGCTAAGATCTAAAACACAGTACAGTAGGGTGTCAGCAGGCTCCACGTCTTCATCCGTTTGGTGGGGGTTTTGGTTGCAGTCAATGGCGGTTTGTCTCTGTATGTGGCCAGTGATGGATCGGTGAACAGTCCAGACTGTAGCCCGCCCTCACCCAAAGACTGCTGGGATTGGCTCCAGCTTCCCCCCAGGGTTCTGAAAAGGATTTTGCGGTGGTTACAGTAACAGCTTGTAAACGTCCAGGTTCCCTCTCTTCCTCTTGCCCTGCCTCGGGCCAGATGTTCTGGATCTCTGTCCTCCCCGGTCCATCTGCCATTTGTGTCTTATTTTATGCTTCCTCTTCGTGATGTGGAGGAGTCTGTGTAGTTCAGCTCTTGTCTGTTGGCAACACCTGGTAGGTGAATGACCAAAAAAGTCATTTCGTCCAGAATGTGGAGTGAATCTGTTTAACATCTAATCCAGAGTCAGAATGTTGTACCAACAAATTTACTGTTTTATTACAGCTTGGTCCGTGCTCAACATGCCTGTCTTTTAAATACCCTTTCCTGGCAAGGTCACCTGAGGTCACTGGGTACTGTGAGCAGGAAAATCAATAAAAACATTTAGTTTTTTTTCCAACTTCATTCACTTCGCGTCAGACGCGCCCTGTGGCGCCATTTACATTGTTCGTGAATGTGAAGTTACCGCTCAATTTGTGTCTTGAAAAAGTACAAAAAAGTAAGTACCATTACACTACATAGTATCCAGGTATGTTAAAGTTGTCAAACCATAATAGTTTTACTGCAGTATATTGTTTGGCTTAAAGTGAGAAATGATTATGCAAATTATTATTTTTTAATTATTATTATTTATGAAACTTTTAGCAGTTCTGCTTGAGTTTCTTAATGTATTTGAATCACATTTCAGTGAAAGAGAAAACCATGACACATTTAAGGACGATAATTAAGGAAAATAATTTACTGGGCATTTTTTCGTTTATTGCCCTCAGCAGCTGAAAACCTCATCACTGCCCTTACAACCAGTACTGCAGTAACTCACAACTTTATACTTCTGCTTCTCATATTCAGGTGTTTTCCCTGGCTCCCCTGGCACAGACACACTCCTCCATCCATGTCGATCATATATTTTCACATTCTGTGTATTGAATCCACTTTTCCACATCTTTTACATAATTCCCTGTATTCCAGTAGCTGCTCCCTGCCCCATTCCTCCCTTCTCTCCCCACTAACTTTCCAGTTCATGCTCCAGTTTTCCAGGCGTCATGTTGGATGAAGCTGCTCAGTTACAGATGTTAACTGTTGGAGGAGCCACACTCCTCAGACTGAACGCACCAGTCCTAAAGATGCTGTATGTGAACTCTGATGAAAACATGCTTTTAAGTTTAAATACACACTTAGTAAAGTAAATACAAACCCATTATCTATTTTATTTTCCTTCTGAGGGCTTTGGGAGAAATGAAGCAACAATATTTTGGAATTGGCAGCTAAAAATACTATTTATTCTAGACTTTAATAATTTTAATATGATTCAATTCACCCTTCATTTTCTTTCTACCACTTAATATTTTTCTGGATGAGGGGGAAACTGGAGCTGTGTGAGAAACAAAAGCCTAGCACAAGAACATTTCTCTACTGTCTCAGCAGCCAGGACCGTTAAGGTTTATAATTGTTGTCTCACTGTACAGAGAGTGCAATGGGGATTTGTTTCCCTCTAGCGATGCATTTATGTTCTTACACGTCATTGCTCTGGGAAAGATTAGCGTTTAACTCCTGTAAATGATCACTGTTTGGTTAATTATAGCAAAATGTACCAAATCTTAATCCTTACCCTAACTTGAATACAAATCTGATATTAATCCTAATCCTAATCTTGAACCTGCAAATACACTGTGTCCCACTGAGGAGCTGTAAAATGTCCCCACAAGCACAGAGTGTTCCCACAACAAAAGTGATTTAACAAAGGAAATGTAAAGTATAGCTGTACCACAAACACACATAGATTAAACAACTTACTGTATTATTTAGTGAATGATGAAAATCTGTCACAGGATCAGATACAAACGATCTCGACAATAGAAGAAAATGTCATGATGAAAACATGAAAAAAAAAAAAAACATCATCTTTTCCTCCTTTGTGTAAACAAAGCTGTGACACATCATCTGTTCACGGCTGCAGTTGAACTCACTATAAACCTCAGAAGTGAGGTGACAGCGGACGGTCCTCGCATCTTCAACGTGTGGTTCGGTGATTGGGTGTTGGACATCATCTCTTTATGTTCAGTCTTTGGATCTCGTCCACTCTGTTGTGGTGGAGTTGGAAAGAAGGAGTCACCCAGCGACCGCACGAACACTGGTCACCAAACCAGCGGAAAGAGCCCAGTTTAAAGCCACACTTAGGACACAGCAGCTGCATGGAGTGGGAAGAGGAGAAGGGTGAGGGTCAGAGGTCACGTGTATCGCGTCGGATACATGACAGATTATGGATAACACCTTGCGTTCTGTGTCTGTAGATGACTGACATTTACATGTGTGTCTCACCTGCCCATCCATCTTTCCAAGTAATGCTGGTTCCATCCACTGAACCGGTTCAATGAAGTAGGACGTACACTGGACGTCTCCTGGACAGCAGCACACACAAAGACCAAGCTATATATACACAACTGAACAAACTTTTTCACACCTATTGGTTCAAAACTCCTACTGCTGCTTTCATTAAACAATGGAATCGCAGTCAGAAACCAGAGCTTTTTTCCTTCTAGCTCTTCAGCCTTTATTCTCTTGCTTCCGTCCATTTCTCACCCAGCCTTCGCGGTCATACACAGGCTTCTTACCACTGAGGTTGCTGGACTTTTTGTAAGCAAAGGCTGAGGCTCCGTCTCCTAACGAGTGGCTGAGAATGCTGGACTGACGAAACAGTGTTCGGCTGCAGAATACAGAGCAGACATGGAGGCGTCAGACACAAGTTAAAGCCTGAATAAAAACAGGATACATTTCTATGTTGTCACCTGCATTTCCTGCAGCGATAGGAAACTTCAGAGGAGGAGGAGTGAGCTGGGTCAACAGCAAACAGCTCCCTGGGAACCTGCTCCAGCTCTGAACACAGGGAGAAAAATGCAAAAATAATAATCAGTGTAATGTAAAACAGGCACTGGTAACTGATTCAAACCATGTGTGTGTGTGTTCTTCTACCGGGATATTTCTCTGCAACCTTGTTCAGTCTGTACTGTTTGTACAGAGGACAACTGAAGTCCACCTCACAGCCTATGGCCTCATACATACAAAGCTGTTCCTCAAAACCACTGTTCACCCTGGAACACATCACAATATGACAGAGGTATGTATGCAGGGAGGACATAAGAACTGGTAACACTATGTAGTTGATCCTGGATTAAAAAAGTTAAAAGTACAGATACATATTCTATCAATATATTATTAAATTAACATTATTTATTATTCATATATTAAACTTTTGATTGTTGAGCAGTAATAACATTAACGAGGCTTTCAGCAAAATGTTCAATGTTTAATTAAATCTTTATTGTTATAGTTTAACAAGGTGAGTCCACAAAACAAACACTTACTGAACATCCTGTTTGATGGTCTTCAGTTTTTCATAAGCCTTACTAAAGCTCAGTCCATGTCTCTTCATTAAATAGGCAGTAACTATGGTGGCACTTCGACTTCGACCAGCCTGACTGAGGGAGACCCAAAATAACCAAATCAACTCATAGGATACAACAAAAATATGTCCACAACTATCACCTTCCATTGACTTGTGAAACTTACCAGTGAACAAGCACAGCCCCACCTCCCTCCACCGCCTGCTGGATGAAAGTGTAACAGTCATCCATGTGACTCAGGAGGTCAGAGGTGGCTTCATCCAAAACGCAGACCCACTTCCTGCAGAAGACATCATCAGCAGGCAGGAGGAGAGCAGGGTCAACAGAGTCCACGGACAGGATGTGAGTGACAGAATGGTTGACCAACTCATGCCTGTCGTTTAGATCGGCAGCAGTGCCAATGAACACCCCGTGGTCCACCAGGAGCATGGCTGCAGAGAGTCAGGGAGCATGGAATAACTCAATAACTGCAGAGAGTCAGGGAGCATGGAATAAATCAATAATTGTTGTTGTTGTTGTTAAAGTGACCTGTTCACACTGAAGTTCCACTTCCGGGGGATGTGCTGCGTTACAGTAAATATGATCAAGTGTAACGACAAAATTAAACAGCATTAAAAAACATTACAATATGCTAAAAAGGCCATTGTTTTTAGTCTACAATAGTGCAGCAAAATATACAAAACAAGGGATGGTTTAAAGTGTGTAGCATTTCCTAGAGTCCGTAACTTTTGTTTACAGACTAAAAGTTACATTAGTACAAATGCTACTGACCTCCTTAGCTTCGTGTGTCAATGATATTGTCAATCGTTCGGCTTCGGGCGACAAACGCCAATTGAAGAAAATGAAGTAAACACAAAAATGGGAAATCAACACCGTATAGGCGACTGAAAAATGGTGAATCGGAACTTCGTACGTCTTTTAAACAGTCCGACAGGAAACATAAATATGCGGACAAACGTTCCACATAAACGTGAATTTTTTAAACCGTTTTTTTAAAATCCTGTTCACTACAGTTGTTTTAGTGAGCTACTTTGTTATATTAACATTACTAATTGAATAGAAATATGCTAGATAAATATTCTGCAAACCTTTTTTCACACACACAGTAAACATGTCCAAAAATCATTGAAAACAATTCAATAAAACTACGTTCTAAAAAAGTTGCATTGTGGTCAGAATTATAATTATAGGATTGATTAAAAAAATTATAATTCTACATGTATGGTTGTTTATTATTAATAAACTTTATTTTTAAATGCGTTTAACAGCTTAGGTAGAAAAACACGACAGAAAAAACTAAGATGCATGAACGACGCATTCAAGATGCATGAATAGACAGCTGAAATTACAAAACTAATTTTGAAACCAGCAACAATAAAATGTGGCAGAGTTCACACACACACACGGGATGTCATTTCCTAAAATCACTGATTCTGTAGAATGTCTAGACAGCTGATTTACTACCAGAGTGCATGACTACGTGATGTAGAGAAAGAGTTTGGGTTTTTATTTTCTAATTGGATGTGAAGAAAGACTGGTGTCATCATCAGGACATGCCTCCCCTGCCCATGGCTCCTCCTCTTCCTCCGCGTGAAAACGGCCCTGAGGACAGGCAAATGTGACAAAGGGAGTTTAGAAAAGTGAATGACAAGAAGAGATTTTTTCAATATGCTTTTAGTTTGTGTACAGCAGCTTCAGGCCACTGCACTTCCTGTCAAAACATTACCAGAATCAGAGTCGTTAAGGCACATTTTAAGCATTAGATCGTTGGGTAATTCACCTCTGCGGCTGGTTGTTATCCTGATGTCCCTCCCTCCTCTGGCACCTCTGCTGATCTGAGGTTGTGTGTTTACAGTGCGTCGCAGCATGACACTACTTGTGTCTGAGGGGGGAAAAAAGACAGAGAGGAAACAATTAATATGATTCAAGAAAAAACAAGTACAACAGCAAAAAAACATCATTCAGATATTCTCAATAAGTAACTTAACTAAACTGGGATATGTGTAATTAAAAAAACCAAACATTTCTTTGTATAGTTATATTTAAACCAACAGCCAGGGGGCAGACTGGATTACCAGGGTCTGTACTTGTAGAAGGCAGTGAAGCATCATCACTCTGTTGACCCGTCAACTCTGCTTCTGTCTGGCTCTCCAAAGACGATTCAATACCAGACCTACCAGAAACACATGCAAACAATACATTAGAATTATGAATTTTGTATCCACTATTTAGTTTAGTACGGTCAACGGCAGTTTCTTTTAAGAAAAAAAATGACACGTTTTATTTTTGATGTCATTTCTGTCATGATCCAAATGTAATAATGTCCTGAGTTACTTACCCCTCTGCTTCCTGTTCCACAAAGACCTCGTCTCCATCGTCCACAGCAGCAGACATGCTAGTGGAGGCCGTTACCATGGGAACAGACTGGGAGGCCATGTTATCACCAGTATCTGAAGGAAGGGACTCGGTGAAAACCGTCACTGACAAAGACAGTCACAGTCAGGGCAGTACAACAGACAAAGGTTTGTCCTGTCAGGAGTGTGTGTGTATGTGTGTGTGTGTGTGTGTGTGTTACCTGGTGCAGCTACTTGTAAAGGTGTGGTTGGTACACTCCGTCCTCCTCCATCTTCATCGTGAGCAGCCAGGAACAGCGGAGACTCGTACATCCCCAAACCTGAAATAAAAGCCTTAGTTAAACACACACACACACACGTCATGTCATATTTGATCAACGTCAGATGTTGCTGTGCAGCAGTGATTTACCTCCTTGAGAGGCCAACTGCCCCAGGTCAGAGTGAGACCCTGAGGTCTGAGACAGCAGGTCTTCAGGAGGACCAAATCTGAACCTTGTGGACAGACCTGCTACCTGAGGAGAACTGATGGGGCAAATAGAGACGGCAGGTGAAACAGGGCTAGTAACACAGAGGCCAGTTTAGTTAAAGGCAGAATAATTGCTGGTCACTAATGTAATGTAACCTACTTATTTGTGTGTGTGTGTGTGTGTGTGTGTGTGTCTTACTGTATGGCCTCAGCAAAGCCATCAGTGCGGTGTGGCACCACCAGAGTAGGAGTACTAGGAACCATCCTGTCATCATCATCAAAGAAATGTTGCTGTAACACAAAAACACATATTTTACCATCATATATACACAAAAATACAAAAAATACTACAATAGGACACTATAAATGTCTTACCATATTAGCTATTCCAGGGGTTAGTTGAAGTCCACGCCCCACTGAGGGTCTGCGCAGCTGAGAGGACTGTCTCTGATTTAACACAGAGATTATAAATGTTAGTTTTTTTCAAAATGTATAAAATAATCATTTTAATGGATAAGAGATGGATTTATATGTTAATATTCCATATATTTTTATTTATAAGGTTTAAACCTCAAAAATCCTCAAAGGCCACAAGATGTGGCTTCAAATTCTCTGCGTATGCAAATGAGTGTACCTGTGTGTGTGGTGGTCCAAGCTCTGGTGCTGGAGGTTGGATGTACAGCCTCGGAGGGAGTGACTGCAGCGGCCTGCGGGGTTGGGGCAAGTGGGGTGTGAGAGAAGAGGAGGGTGAGGGAACAGAAGAGGACGAGGAGGCTGGAGGGAGGTGAACAGTCTCTCTGGTGGTGTCAGACTCTAAGATGATGCTACTGCTGCTTTCACCTGGAACAAATGAACAAATGAAATGAATAGTCATCTATAAGCTCATTGAAATGGAGTGGTGTGTGGAGGGAACATACAGTCGACGATACTCACTGCTCTGTGGTGGTTCAGAAACATGATGGGAGTCTGAAGACACTCTACCTACATCCTCCTCCGTGGTGGTACTCTCTGACGGAGCCTCCACTCCATGCTCCTCAGCGTCTCCGCTCTTATCATTACTCTCATCTCCTCCCATCAAACCACCGTCACCAGCATCGTCCTCATCTTCGTCATCCTCTTCTTCCTCCTTACAACAAGGGGTTGTAAAAGTTTTGTTGTAGACAATAAAGCTTTAAATGAGTGAAAACATTTTGAGCAGGTTTTTTTGTTGTTAAAAGCAGCACCTCCTCTGCTTCCTCTTCCTCCTCTTCCTGGTCTTCGCCTTCATTATCCTGCTTCATTATCTCCTCTCCCTCTTTGCTCTCACGGCTCTCGCTGTCCGTGTCGAGCACAATGACGTCTCGGGTTAAAGACGGAGCATCAGACATCTGGAAAGAGGGGACGGACTGAGACACCCCTTCCTCACCCATGTCTTCATCCTCCTCAGCTAAGACAGGGAAACTCTCCTCTGGCAGCTCCTGCAGCACAAACACACAGGTGTATACAGAGGTAAAGGAACAGAAACGTGTGTTTGCTGTTGATTTACTCACCTGAGTGCCATCCTGTGAGTCCTGCTCCTCCACCTCATCCCTGAACTCCACCTGAAAAAAAAATCAGCCATAATTTAACAAACAATAAGTGGAAGACATTTGACCAGAAACCCTTTCTATTAAATGTTTTTTTTCTCTGAACTACACTGTTCACCAGGTCCTGCATCAGCAGTCATGTTTACCTGCAGAGCCATCATTGCTTTTAGTCGTAGTTTTTTTGTGGTTGGTGTTGTGTGAGAACTCTCTGGTCTGCTCTCCTCTTCGTCGTCTTCATCCTCATCCTCTCTGACTCTCTTTGACCCTGTAGTTATTGGCAATGAACAAAAGTCAAGGTCTCCCACATTATCAGTCACCAAAGGCAGATGTAACCACTGACCCCGCGCACTAACTACACACCTGCTCCAATCAGTGAGGAGGACGTGGACGGCCGCTCCACCTCCATGCTGGACGCTGCTTCCTGACTGGTCGTCTGCTGCTGAGTGGGCTGGACAAATGCTGTGGCTTGAGTGCTGGTTGGCTGAGTCATAGAGGTGGACGCCATCACCAGGCCGGAGCTAGTGGAGTGAACGGCGGTTCCTGCACTGATCAGAACTACACACAGAGGACATTTTACACACAAAATAATTAAGGACATATTACTAATTATTAATTAGTTATATATCTGTTTCCTCTCACCCTCCTGGCTGTCAGTCTGGGTGGTTGGCATGACAGTAGCGGTAGGTGTTGGCGTAGGAACACTCGCTGGAGTCACCATAGGCCTGATGCTGGCACGGGGCGTGGACTTGTTACCAGGAGAGGGACTGGGTTTGTTGTTGGGTGATGGGGTACTTGGTGTTGGACGGATGTTTGCAGTAGGGGGCTCAGAGAGACTGGAGCTGAGGGACAAAGATGGAAGTCAATCTACACACACTAGTCTTGTTAGGATAACACTAAATGCAAAATATATATGACACAAAAAAAAATTACGGTCCAAGGTGGTTACAGTATTTTTAACCGCAGTTTGTGTTGATAGGTAGTACTGTATGAAGTATCAAATAATTACCCTCCTCTGTCCTGGGCTGGACTTTTCAATGATACCTGTCTCTGCTCAGCTGATCTGGAGGAATCAGCAGCCTAAACAAAAAAAACAAGTCAACATTTTTTTGTAAATTATATTCATTTAAGTTCAACATTCAGAATCAATTCTTGTGAAACGTCAAGGCCTGTCATAAACCGTCATCAATACCTTGGCTCCGCTCTGGTCCAGTGGCTCATCCTTGGTGTCAGAGTGGGCCTGTGCCTCCCTCAGCTCCCTGTCCAGACGAAGAAGTCGACCCTCGTATTGAGACTTGAGGGCGTTCATTCGAACCTCCAGCTCCTCCTTGTTCTGCTTCAGTTCTTCGATTTCTTTAGCCAGCTGTTCTTTGGCAGCTGCAGGTGACAAAAAAAAAGAACCTTTAACTAGAGAACATCAGAATAGTATTTTAAATGTGTCAAGTCCATGTCAAAACCTACTGATGAGTTGGTTGATTTTTGTCTTGGCACGCATAATAACTTTCAGGGTTTTTTCCTCTTTTTCAGCCATTTGCTGTTTGAGCTGCTCCTCTCTGTTCTTGGACTCATTTAGCTGTGGGAAAACAAAACGGATCTAAGAGTGTGGAAAAGAGCTAGAGCAGGACACAATTTGGACAGACGTCCTTGTGTTAGCACTCGAGAAAAAGGATTTTTTTCTCTTTTGCCAAGACGTTAATATAATTAAATAACTTTTTTTTTATTTTATGATAAAATGATGTTTTTCTTTTACCTCTTTTTGGAGTTTAGCCACCTCCTCTTGTACTGCCTGGTTAGTGTCACCTGCAGCGTTAGCGTCTGCAGACTGGGAACTCTTGGTCTGTGGGGCTTGACTGGCCTCAGTCAGCTGCTTCTGCAGACGCTGGACGTCTGCTTCCCGCTCACCAACAGTCTGACGGGACGGAGAATTTTAACAAAAGCAACAACAAGTCTCAATAATAATTGTAATAATTATTAATTTTTATTACTATAATAACTCTACTATAATAGTTGAACCTGATTTCTCTAACCTTCTGTAGACTGTCCAGTTGTCCCTGGAGTTCAGTCACCTTTTGGGACAAAAGCACAGATATAAATACACCTCGGTTTGAAAATTACAAGATTAAAAAAATAATTCTGTCCCACTATAAAAGTACTGGTGTCTACCTTGGCCTCTGCTTGGCTCAGAGTAGTCTTAAGATTGCCAACTTCCTGGTTATGACTGTTTTGATTGTTTTGGTGAGTTTGCTGGAGTTCTTTCTGACTGGTCAGATTCTGCTGGAGAGTTTCCTTTGTCTGCTGAAGCTCCCTCTGCAGCTGCTGAATGTGGTTCTGGCGGGCCTGGGCTTGAGACTGGGCTGATTTCATCTGGTTTTGAGCCTGTATTTTAAGACCAGGACAAAGACACATTTGATGACTTTGCACATCTAGTATAAATCAAACCAAATTGGCACCTTTTCTACCTGCTGAGCCTGGGTCTTGGTTTGTTGGAGGTCTTTCTGACACTGGGTCAGCTGGTTCTGATTCTGCTGCAGCTGAGCCTGGGTCTGAGACAACTGAGTCTGAATCTAAGGAAATAAAAAGTTGACATAAATGACTCCAGGACCATTTAGCTCCCTGGTACCAGGAGCCATAGCTATAGTAAGTACGTACTTGTGTCAAATGGCTCTGATTCTGTGTCAGCTGGTTTTGGACATTCTGGTGCAATTCCTTCGACTTCTGAGTCTCCTTTTGGGCCTCTTCAAAATCATGCTGAGCCTTCTGGGTCTGGAAAAAAACAAAAACGCAATACATTGTTTCTGTTGAAACATTTTGGAAGCAACAGCAGGTGGTCATGCCAGCAACTATGTGTAGGTAAATTTGGTGTCATTTCCTAAATAAATTAGAACTCGCTTCTCTGTTTAAGACAGTTTCATTTTTGGCATAAATACCATATTCCATGACAAGGAAAATGCTGGGCATCACAACCAAAAGCCAATGAGTTTAGCACATAAACCTCATGAGGTGTTAAACCTGTAGAATACAACAACCTCAGACGTTGTCTAGTCTCGTACAACGGCTGTTGATGAACTGTACTCACCTCCTGCTGTTTTTTCTGCATCTCTTCCTTCAGAGCTTTCACCTCCTCTTTGGACTTCACCAGCTCCTCCTGAGCTTTACTTAGCTGCTGTGTGAGGTCTTGGTTTGGAGCTGCTTCACTTCCTGCTTTAGTGGCAGTTTCTGCCACCAACTAAAACACAAGACAAACAAACCCTCAGTATTCATCCCCTTTTCAAGCTCCTCAGCTTGTTGTCACCAAAACGGCGGCGCTACCTTGTCATGCTGGGACTTCAGCTCCTCGTACTGGGTCTTGTAGCGCCGTCCGATCTTCTTGACCTGGGTGATGGTCTTGTTCTTCTCCAACATTTCAGTGTTCTTCGTTTCCACATCTTTCTTTAGGGATTCCTTCTCTGACGTTAGATTAGCCACAGAATCTTTGAGGCTCTGAAGCTGAGACTGTGCTGAGTTTGTGCTGGCATTAGATCTATTTCACACACCATGAAGACAGTGTTTAGGGAAACATGGATAACAATCATGTACAACAAAAGAGAATCGGTCACCGAGTGGTAAGTGTTAGTGATCAGTTTTTTTAAGTTGCATCAGTCATCACTGCACCTTGCCAGTTCAGCCTTCAGTTTAGCGATCTCTTCAATGAGCTGCGTGATGCGTCTCTGCTGGGCTTCTTTTTCGGCCGTCAGTTTCTGTCTTTCCTCCACATTTCCATCTTTTTGTTGGCTCATCAGTTGCTGCAGATACACACAAAAACACATATATACTGTATAAGAAAGAAGAAAATCCATCTGTCTCCTGTGACAGTGTGTGATCATGACATTTGCAGAGGAGGTGAGATCTCATGAATCTAGAAGACAAACGTTGTCTATAAATCTCCAAGAAAGCAGCTACAGTTGGCCCTCAACTATGAATGAATGTGACCATAAAATAAAATCAAGGCAAGGACGAAACCCTAAAACATACTAGCTTTAATATAAACAAATTAAACAAAAACAGCCAAAAAAAAGAGCATGAACAAACCTGACACACCAGACTGACCTGTGCTTTGACCTTCCAGTGCTTGACATCTTCTTCCAGCAGCCTTTTATCAGCCTGCAGGCTACCATTTTTCTCCAACAGCATGGACAGAGAGTGATGCAGCGGGTTGATGTCTGACTGAAGCTTTGTCACCTGACAAAACAGAAAGGTCAGATGTGAGAACAACATTTGAGATGTAAGATAACATTACATTTGTCTTCCATAATTCTCTTCTCTCCAAGTTTTCGGTTCGTAGTGATGAGTGTGACCTCATTAGAAACAGACTATGATTTTCTAAAACTTTTTTTAAGACATGCTGATCTTACTTTGGCCTGTGCTTGTAGCAGCTCCTGCTGTAGTTTTTCTCTGTCAGTTTTCAGAATCCTGTTGGTTTCCTGCAAAGCATTAATGCTGCTCATCTTCTTCAGCTGTTCCTCCTGCTGTGACAGAGTCTTGGCTGTAATCTGGGAAGTAGAAGAAGGCACAATAGTTACCTAAAAGTAATGAAATTATCAGTGTCTTCTAAACTCTTGTACATTCAGATGGACCAGTTGTCCATGACAAATCTTTCCTCTTACCTGCATTTTCTTCCTCTCAGCATTCAGAGCTTCCTGTAGCTCCTTCAGTTCCCTGCCCTGGTGCTCCACCTGCTGTTTGTAGCGAACAGCTTTTCCCTCTGACACCTCACACCGAGCCAGAGCGATCTGTTCCTCCTGTCGTACAAACCTACACAAGAAGCAAAGTTGCTCAAATCAATGTTGCCGAGACACACCTACAGCTTAACTTCATCATTTAAAGTTGTACTGACTATTCTTTGGATGGTTTACATAGACTTCATCTGCTTAAAGACACATGCACCCAAATCACTGCAGTTTTACCTGAGGATTTCAAGTATCTGTTCTGTGCTTTTTCCTTCCTCGCTGAATGACACGTCCGGCTGCTGCTGCTGCTGCTGCTGTCGACTCCTGGAGGCGATTTCATCCATTTGCTGGTGTAAAAGAGTATTCTGTTTCTCCAGCTCCTCACAGCGATGACTCTGAGTGGACTGTTCCTCCTTAAGAGTCAAAGGCCAATAAGATGCAATTAAATCTCTGACTTTTTTTTTAAATATTATTGAAAGTGGAAAATACTGCTTTAAGGTCAACATCCTCAAGGGAGTCCTGTCACCTTCAGCTCTTTCTCCAGTGCGTTCCAGGCTGCTGTTTTCTCCTGCAGTACAGTGTTGGTGTTGTTTAGCTGCTCCTCCAACTCTGTCTTTTTTTCCAGGTCCTGTTGAATTCGTTTCTTCAGCTCCTGCAGAGCCTCCACGTCAGCAGCATGAAGCATCAACTCTCTCTCATACTTGGAATGAGCCTCTCCTGCCAGTTTAGTCTGAAAGCAGAGATTCCTCAGCGTAAGTCACAGCTTTTTTCCCCACATTCACATAATTTCCTGAGACATGTGCTACATGCCAAGTGTGTGATGTTCATTAACCTGCAGCAGACTCTCCTGTGTGGCCTTTTGCTCCTGTGTTAGGGCAGCAGCTGCCTTCTCCACCGCCTCTTGCTGCTCAGTCTGACTCTCCTTCAGCCTGCGCTGCAAGTCAGCCACCTGGAAACAAGACGACAAACAGACAGCTGCATTAGGTAAAGGATATTTAAATGAGAGTGAATAATTATATAATTACATAAAATATCTCACTGAGCATCAGCCAGTACCAACACTGTACCTGGTGAGAACACTTACTTGTTTCTCCAGCGACTCTCTGGCCTTTCTCTTTTCCTCTTGCTCCTGCTGTCCCTTTTTCTCCACCTCTATAATCCTCTTCTCCAGCTGATTCTGCACCTCCTTTGACTCCTTGAGTTGGATCTCCATGGAGGCATGAATCTAAATAGTTGCATACATTCAAAACAAATAGATTCATTTTTGGGACTGGACAATCGTGTATATCAACCACAAAGGGCCATCCTACCTCCTTTTCTTCCTTCACAGTATCTTCCAGGGCTAGTACCAAAGCTCTGTACTGCTCCACACTAGTATTAGCAATCTTCAGCTGTTCTTTGAGTTCACTGTTTTGCTCCTCAGCAGTGTGCAGAAGACCCTTAACCTCCGCTAGTTCCAGCTCTGACTGACTGGAGTCCTGGGTGGACTGTTGGGAGGAGGCTGGTGGAGCTTGAGGGCGTCCTGAGTGTGAAGAAAAATATCATTTGTGTGAAATTATTCTGTATGAGAAACAGTGATCACAATCATGAAAGTATCCTTCAGTTCAACAGTCATTTACCCCTCAGTGGAGCTCTGAGGGCTGCTGCCCTGGTAGCCACAGGGGTGGAGGTGTTGTTTGCAGCATCAGAGGTCGAAGTGGAGGCAAGCTGGGCCTTCAGTGCTGCCACCTGCTGTTCAGAACTACGCAACAAGTCCCTGGTCTTCTGGTGCAAGACGTTCTGAGTTGCCAGCTGCTTTTTTGCTTCCAAGAGTTGAGCCTGCAGAGTTATATATAAAAAAAGCTTTTCACTAAAATATCTGCACATTCATGAGCAGCACATACTTAAGATCAATATAAATATTTTGGCGTTGAACCATTTATACTCTACATACATCCATTGTCCGTCCGAGTGCATGTCTCTGTGCTACTTCCTGGTCCAGCTTCTTCTTCAGGGTAGCCAACTCTGCCTCCAGATGATCAATCTTGTTATTTAGCAGCTGTCGGGTCTCAGTCTCTGTGCGCTCCATGGTCAACTAGACAAAAATAGAAGGTTAAGGAAAAAGATGCAAAGGCATTTCCTAATATATGCTATTAACAGTTCCCCTAAATTTATCTCCAGTTTTCCATTTTTTCCCCCATTGTTTTTTCACATCTCTAATCTAACCCATTCTGATAACTTTGACCATTTGTAGAACCATTTTCAGAACTCGATACCTGTATAGTCTTGAGGTTGATGAGCAGCAGGTTCTGGTTTCTTTGCTCGGCCAGTATGGCTTCTTTTTCTCGAGTCAGTCGACTTTCAGACTCCCTAATGATGTCTTTTTCTTTGGTCACGTTCTGAACACGTGCCTACAAAAAAAAAAAAACACAAACAAAATGCTTTAAAGCAGTTAACTCAAAATACATGATTTATTGGACTGAAAAACAATGTTTTCTTAAATCTAGCCTGTGCTATACATTATAGTACCATCCTGACAAGAAAACACACGTTCATACAAATGTCATGACTTTTTGTTTTACTTCTGCGACAGTCTAAGGTCCACCTTGACCTCCTCACCTCCTCCAGAGCCAGTTTAGCTGTGGCCTGTTGCAGGTCCTGTGTCATTGTATGAATGGCGTGTTCGTGTCGCTGGATTAAAGCAGACATTTTCTGGTTTCTGTCCTGAAGGGCAGCGTTCTCTCTGCGGTAGGCAGATACAGTCTCTTGGAGTATTTCATACCTTATAAATAAAAACAAAAAATAAGGAACATATAATTATCTCAGACAAAACAAAGGCAGGCATCTTTAGTCCCTTTTACTATTTTATTGCTATTAAGTATTAGGTTTTCCATAACTTTACAGTCAAGATTATTTTGACATCATTATCCATTTAATGTACCTCTTGTTGCTAAACTCCAGCTGAGCAGTCATCTTGGCCTGGCTGGACTGGAATTCATGTATCTGTTTCTGCAGCCTGTCATTAGTTTCATTCAACATCCTGTCATTTTCTGCCTTCTCCTTTTTATACACAGTGAAGGCATCGTTGAGCTGCGAGTGTAAAGACAAAACCTTCAGTCAGAGCAGGCACAGAATTTCTCCTTTAACCTCTCACGAATATGAAGACAGTCACTTTTTTTTTTTTTTTGAGTGCATGAGTGTACTCTACCTGTTTTAAAGCTGCTTTAGTCTGTGCACTCTGTCCCGACTCAGCAGCAGCAGCTCGTTGAGGAGTGGAGCGAGTCACAGGAACTGATCCACGAGCAGACGCAGGTTGAGGTGTCGTTGACTCCAGACCTGCATACACACATTAAAGTCTCCAGTTCATCAATTCCATCAACACTGTGGACTGGTCAGGTGCATGGACAAAGAGCACTCTGAGTCACCTTGCAGTGGCAGGCTGAAGCCAGTGCTCTGTGTTAACAGAGCCTTGTACATGTCTCTCTGCCTGGCACTGGAGTCAGCCAGCTGTTTCTGCTGGTTCTTCTGTTCTCTCAGCTGCTCCACTTCCTTCTGGAACTTATCCACACTGGCCTCCAGCTCAGACACACTGCAGGGATGCAAATATGGTGGAGAAACTGCAAATAAGTTCCCTTTTCCAAAAGAGCTGTACACAACAGCTACATTCTACATGGCAGGTCACCACAATCTGGGTCTAGGAAATATAGGGATTTATACAGATAACTGACCACAGTGTAAAATGTAGCATCGCAACTGGAATTTAAGTTCCAAAAATGTTTTTTTAAATGTCCCCACACACCAAAACATCTCACCGTTCAGATGTGGCTCGTTCTTGCAGACCTTCTTTTTCTTGCTCCAGGTCCCGCAGTCTTCCTAACAGGTTTTGGTTCTGCCTCTGTAGCTCCTCCACACTTCTGAAGGTGAACTGGTTTGAGCCAACTACCTCTGTGGTGCTGGAAATGTCAGCAGAGCTGCTTTCACTCCGGTTCACAGGATTTCCCCTGGTTTCCTCCAGCTCCACCAGAAGAGCACACACCTGGGACACATACAGACAAATTCATTACGGATGTGATGTGAAGTTTAATATTTGTTGTCAGTGAAATGTTTTTTGTTTGTTTTTTATCAGGCCTGCAGCAGGAGACTGAGTTTGATGATATGTACCTGTGAAGATGTATCATCCAGCTGCCTCTCCGTCTTCAGTTTCTCTTTCTCCAAATTTTCATAAAGCTGCTTCAGCTCTTCTTTTTCCTTCTGCAAATTGTGGATCTCCTGTTGAGAAAGTGGTAAATAAAAATTTTGATGTCGCCTGTAAAAACATTCAACCCAAATTCACCCATAAATTTTCACAGACCGCTCGAGCCTGTTCCAGTTTGTTGCAGATGGAGGCCATGGATCTTTGAATGCCTTCATATTCCTCTCGCTGGCGCTTCAGAACAGGAGCTTTGGACTCCACCTCCTGGACAATCTCATCCAAGACTTTGTTAACTCTTCTGCTCTCCTGTTTTTCAAGTTGTAGCTGCGTCTGACAGTCTGCATAGGCGTTATACAGCTAGACATAAATACAGAGACAAGGAGTTGACACGTTCAATACGACACAGAGACAGTTTGAAGACAATATGGTGCAGTGAAAACAAAGGTTTTTTTGTACTGCAAAAGTTAAAAAGCCAAGTGATTTCTACAGTTCCTTCAGATGATGAAATGATGAATTATTTTGACCTTAAATAGTTGATAAACCTACATCAAAGAACTTCATTCCAGGTTTGACAATCGCAGCAATGGCTGCTGCTGATGGACACATGACGTTCAACTGCTCCTCTGTCACTGCAGGTCCACCTGTGATAACACACACACACACACACACACACACAGAGTGTTAACGTAACCCTCATACTTGTTAATTTTTCAAGAACTTAACTATCTGAGTGTTCTTACAGCAGTGTTTGCCTGCAGCCTTCATTGTGGCATTTTCCAATTCCTTCTCCATTTTCTTGAGTTTCTCGCCGAGCTCTGCTTCCAGCTGCCTCTTTACTTCCTCGCCCTCCAGAACCTTTTTCTCCAAAGATTTGGTTGCTGCAAAGACATGACATCAGTCACAGATGAAAATCCCTTGATGACCATAAATGTTTGCATAATATGTAATAATCAAGAGAACAACAAAACGCCCTTGTCATAAAAAATACAGTATTTAAGGAGGTATTTTTTTCTATGTAAAACAAACACTGAAATCTGAGTCTTACCTTCCCCTGCTTCTTTCACCACCTTGCTCAGACCTTCGACAGCTCTGCTCAGTTCTTGGTTCTTCTTCTCCATATCTGTTGCTGCCCCCTGTAGGAGACCAGACAAGCACGTAAATATGATGGGGAAAACTTCTCAAGAACAAAAACGTACTGGTACTATTTTATGTCTTCTTAAAAATGTTACTCTCAGGGCATTTTACCTTGTAAAGTGAAGACAATTTGACATGAGCGTTGAGCTCATTCCTGTATTTCTCCTCCATGGCTAACCGTTCATCTTTAGCCTGTAAAAGAATGCATTGCACAACACTTGTAAAAATACAAACAAAAAAACACACCGTTAAATCTTAACAGTGACTTTTATGTTGCTGTTACATTGTAGTTACCTGTTTGAGTTTGTTGTTAAGGTCTTCTGCTCTTTTAGTTTGACTCTCACAGGTTTCTGTCAGAGACTCCAGCCTATTTTTCAGTGTGATCATCTGAAAAAGACAAAGTCGTGGACACAAGGCCAGATTATTCTGATGGTTCTTGAGACATATTAGTGAAAAGAAAATTACACAGCACAAGCTTAAAAACTGTTCTCTTTAAACCTATTTTTGTGCATCACCTGTTCCTCGCTGTTCTTCAAATTCCCCTGAAGCTCTAGTGTCTCTTTGCCTTTGTCTTTACTGATGTTCAGCACCTCATCACTTTTGGTCTTCAGTTCAGCAGTTAACCACTCGATTTTCTTCTCAAGCAGCTCTTTCTCCTGCTCAATACGCTTCTCACGGTGCTACAAGGCAAATCACAGACTTTGAGACTTGCATGGGAACTGGAAAAAATAAGTTTTGTTGATTTCCATGTATTCTGATATGTACCTGTACAGAGGTTTCTGATGATTGAATGTCATCCAGTTTCAACTGCAGCTCCATCTTCACCTTGTTCGTCTCCGTCAGTTTTTCATTCAGACGTTTGACGTTCTCTGTAAACAAAGAAACCTGGTTAGTAATATACTAATTATACTACATGTGTTTTTATTGTCCCTCTTTCAACAACAGTATGTGTTTGGGTTTCCAACATCTTACCAGTAAGATTCTCCACCTCTCGAGTTCTCTTCTCCAGCAGCCTGGCCAGCTCATTCTTTTCGGTCTCAATCTCAAACTTGGTCTTTGTTTGCTTCAGACACACACAGATCAGATTTTCACAGTTCATCCATCAAATTCTGATCGTTTTAACAGAAATTACACAGTGGTAGTGCCTACTGTGTTCTTGTGTCCCTAATGTGAATAAGCAATAATCCCTATGACTCTTATTACCTGCTGCTGTGTTTTTTCTTGGAATGTCTCTCCCTCAATTCCTTTCACAGTGTTCAGCTCATCATCTGCAAAAGTCAAAGTAGGAAAATCAGACACTTGGCATCAGACATCACAATGACAAAGAATTAAAAAAGCAGCAAACCAGTGGTTCAGTTAAATAGCGGAGGATATAAAAAAAGAAAATTTAAAGTGCAAATTTAAATTATCTTGGTCTTGGTCTGTGAACAAATTCTTAATTTTATTCTTAAAAGATTTGTGCAGGTAAGAAGAACTTACTGAGTTTCTTATTTTCCTCCTTTATTGTCTGCAAGTCTTTGGTTGTGGACAGGGTACGTTCCTGGCTCTCCACCAGTCTCTTCTCCATGTCAAAGTACTGCTGCTCTGTAGGTCGAGAGATCATACAACAGAAATACAAAGGTTTAGGTAATTCCCACTACTTTTGTTAATTTTTGAAAACAATATATAGTTTGAAACAGTAGCAAAGATTATACGAAAAAAAGTAGATGTTTCTGAGAATTGTCAACAAAAGTATTTGTTGGATGACATATACGCATACGTCATATTATTTACAATTAGAACAAAATAAGTAAAAACACTGCAAAATGTTTGTGTCATCAGGGACACATCTAGGGACACATACGTTATTGGAGTTAGCGTTAGCACACAATCAAGTGTCCCTAGAAACGAAACACATATGGATGACATATGTAAATGTGATATGATGATACTCTGAAGGATATCATTTGTTTATCCTGAAGGCACAACGTCTAAACCCCTGATGCTAACCCTTCACTTACCGCTGTCCGCCTTGTATCGTTCATGGTGCGTCCTCAGAGCCTCGTTAGCATTCTGCAACTCTGTTACAAACTTCTCCAGTTTATTCTGGACGCCTTTGGGCAGTTTGTTTACCTCCGTCCGCTCCAATGCCTGCAACAGGACGGCCGCCATCTCCACTCGCCTCTGCTAACAAATTTAACTTCAAACCAATTGCTGGTAAAATTATTTGGAACAAATTCGTATAAATCAGGCGGCGCGATGATCGAGTTTGTCTAATAGAAATACGTGCTCTTACTTTGTTGCAAATTGTGGCAGACTACACGCATACGAATGTTGTACTGCCCCCATACGGTCATATATAGATAACAAATATGAGCCGCATTTACCCATTTTAAATTAAACAATTATTTTCAAGTTTAAGTTTTCAAATTTAAATAAACATCACTAACTATATAGGTACTTTACTCGAAAAAAAAAATGCTTTCATGAAATTTTATTTAGACCAAACGCTGACCTCCTCGAACGCACTACGACAACAACATGCGACGAAAGTGTGTCAGAAGGAAAGCATCTCGGTCAATAGAGTTCTAACTCTCTGCTGACGAACCACTGTCTGAGCTGTCAACATAAAAGACTGGGAGCTGTGTCTTTTATTCTGGTTTAACCGCTATCTGGTAGGTATTTTCTCACTGTATAAAGGTGATATATATTTTTATTCATATTGCTTTTTATTTAATGCAGTTGCGGCAGATGGGTGCTGTGTGTAGATGTAAGCTAACAGGAGCAAAAGTGTACAGTGTCACTGTACTTCTCTTAGACAGCTTTATTTTTGTTATCCCCAAGAGCTAGCCTTTATAAATCCTGACAATTAAACACTAGCAGTTCGCCGTTACATAAATTATGTGATAGTGACATTCTTTCATATTTCACTCCAGACAGGATGGGCCGTGGTTACTTAGTAGAGGATGCTGTGGAGAAATATCTGTCTGAACTCTGCACACAACATGCAGTTCCAGTCACAGGACTGCTTATTGGACAAGTAAGTAAAGGTCCACTAAATATTTAGCTGACAATGTAATTCCAGTTCCAGATCCACCAGGCGGCCACAAACCCATACGCTGTAGTGTTAGTGTTGGTAGGTTTTTAACCTTCTTGATAACGTTTGTTCATAAAGTGTATATAAATAGTTTATAATACAACATACATGCAGTATTTCTGTGTTTGACGTGTCATGTCTCAAACTATATCTTGATATGAATTTTAGAGCTCAACCCAAAGGGATTTTGTCATCATGGCAACACGTACACCACAAAGGGAGGAATCACCCTCAAAACAAGAGACATCCCCTGACAAGGAGTGGGTTACAGAGCACGCCCGACAGGTGAGCAGAATATAGTACGGTGAGGGTATGTGTTGTACAAAATATTTATACAAGAGTATTAGAAGATCCTCTTAACATACATTAAGATAAGCCACAACAACCAGACACAACATTTTAAATTGTACTTCCTTGTGATGGAGGAATGTGTAGATTTGAACAAAATTATGTAAATAATGTTGCAGGTATAGATACAAGTCTTTTGCCAGACTCTATATTGTGATTTGTCATGGCTGCATTTGTTGCTGGTTTGATGTACAGGTGTCCAGAATGTTGCCTGGAGGACTGTCTGTTTTGGGAGTCTTCATAATCACAGAGAATGATGGCAAGGACACACAAACCGCACTCAGACAGGTGAACACAAACACACAACATTTAGCTGTAAGTGAAGAGTAATCTTCTCCACTGTGGAGAGCTCCATGCACTTACTATAGTGCACACACTTGTTGCCTCTTTTCTAAGTATGCAAATAACGAATTTCAATCATCACTTAGAGAATAGAAACATCTCTAACTGAAAATACTGGGGCTATAAAATAAAATGTTCATTTCATCCTCGTGCAGCTTGTGTTTGCAGTGGAGAACCTGATCTCTTCAGAGCGCCTGTGGAGCCCCGCAGATGACGACGTCACAGACTGTGTCACACTGCACATCAACCCTAAAACCAGAAAGTATCCTTTTCTCAACATATTCTCACTAAGTCAAGTAGCTTCCTGCTGCTCTGTGGGGATGCTGTTCACCTTTAACACTACATGTCAGAACAGTCTGCAGAACCTTTGATGTCAAAGACCCCAAGGTCAGTTTTTTTTTTCACTATGTAGTCGCTTTATTTACAGTCAGTAGGATATGTATTTTTGGTTAATAAGAATAATCACCTGTGGTTTGTTCATACATCATACAGAATTCTACTACTTTGACAATGGCATATTTTAAACCTAATTTACACTCAATATGTTAAATTGTGGTTGTTTGGTGTTGCAGTGCATGGCCAAGCCTGCAGACTGGAAGTATCAGTCTGGTGTGTGTTCCTCCTGGTCCATGCTCTCATGCTGTCTTAATGTGGACATGTTGGTACCACTCCCAGACAACAGGGCCGTCACTGAAGACATGGAAACATGTCTTAAGGTAACACATTAAGCTGATTCCCTTATTTTTTATTATTTTTTCTTGTTTTCATTCTTGTTCCATATTAAAACACATGCTCAGTGATAGTTTTAATTTGTTTTGCATTTTTGTCAACTGTCTGTAATTTCAGGATGGTCTGAAAATATGGGCTGACAAAATTTGCAGTGGAGTTTGTCTGATTGATGGGAAAAAGCTGCCAGAAGACACGGAGCTCACAACAGGACAGGTTAAAAAATTCAAAAGAAACACTGTCCAAGTGTCCATGATACAAACATAGATACATGTTTGCAGATGGAAGGATGCTTTAAAAACCCTGAAGAAATCACAGTGACTCAACAGGATGTTTTGATAGGGAGGATATACTATAACTTTGCAAAATGCAAAGTAATTAAGGCAACACAAAGGCAACGCACAAGAGAATTATCTCTTTGAATAAAGCACTACAAGCATCACAAACTCTTTTTAAGGATTATGACTCTACCTGTATCTGGCATTTGTCTATAGAAAAGAAATATGAGACAGATATTTACCACCCAGCTGCTCATCACACAGGTAAGAATGCTATGTACTTTGATTAAGGTATGGCATATAAGTATATATGCTATATATATATATGAGTATATATTATATTGGTAGTTTTTGTCAGCTTGTTTCGCTTGTAAGATTCCCTGACCTGTGTATTTAAGAATGAACAGAGGTCCACCAAAGATGTCATTCAGTCATGTGGAGGCAGTGTGTCAGTCAGAGGAACAGTCCATGCAAGAGCATATCTGCACAACAACAAGCCAAGGGCTAAGCTGGCTGAGAAGGTAACTAATATGTACTGTATATCAGAGACGGTACACGCCACAGAAATAAGAGAAATACTTGACAATTTGCGGTGTATTCTTTTCAACAGTTGCTAAAGAGAGATGTAGTTTCCACAGTGGCTACACGGGTTCAAATGCTTCTAGAGGAGCTGCTGACATCAGAGGTGGAGAGCAAGTCAAAAGATGGTTGGTCAACTGGTATATATCTATATATAATGTATATATGCCTCTCATCAAACTGGTCCTTCAAAATGTACAATTTAAATTTAAACAAACTAAATCTGAGACTGCTAACATACCTCTCATCTACCACGTCTCTCTTCCAGAACAACTCTGTCTTCCTCGTCGGGTATTTTGTCTTCTCAAAGGGGCTGGATCACTGTGCGTGTGTGATTACCAGTTCAATGATGAAGGCCCCGGTGAGGTAACTGACAGACTGAAGGAGATGCTTGACATTGATGCAGCCGAGGAAGACTTGGATACCAGGCAGGAGCTGAATGCTGAAATGGTAGCACATGTTGTTGAAACAGGTTGGAAAAATTGTGTTTTTATCTCAAATGGATGCATTATTTTCTTGAGTCAGTTATAAATCTCTGTTGATGTTGAATTAATTTATTTACATGTCCAAATCAATATGTGGAATTTTGTTGCCGATATGCCTTCAATTTCTTTCCGATTGTTATTAACAAAATAAGTTGGGATATTACCTTTATACTGATTTGAAGCCTAATAAACTGAAAATAAACTAAATGGACAAATTGGAAAAAAAGAGAGATGGTTAACACAGAAAGCCCACTTTTTATTTCCACAGTAGTTATTTCCACATGTCCTGTGTTTTCAGAGTCCAGTGTGCCTGTGGATAGTTTGCCTGAACCAAAGAAAAGCAACTATGCTGGTAAGAGTGTTTAATGTTACTGCTGCATTAGTTACAGTTTGACCCTGAAATTACAGTGACAAAAAACTGAAATCAATCCACTTTCACAAACATCTAAGAGATAATTGTTATTTTGCCTGACTTTTACTAAGTGAACTCAGGCCTCAGAGCAGCTTTTTTATTAACCAGAAACTGTGACCTCAGAGTGAGAACTTGGTGAAACTTGGTCTATATGTGTCAGTTACATATTTACATTGGATTATTGTAGCTCCTAGAACCTGTTTGTCACAAAAAAGGCACACGCTCACACACACAAACACCGAATACCAAGTTCCTTTCACCAGAACCTGTTGACAAAGTCTGAAGAGTTTCATAAGGCAGGAAAAAAGTGCATTATATAGTAAATACCAAATCTTCTTTCCTGTGTGTTTTAGGTGCCGCCATTGCTGCTGCTGCCGCTGTACTTGCTGCTGCTGCATCGATGCTCTATCTCAGTGAAGCCTGACATGAAAACAATGATACTTGAATAAAATAAAGTTTATTTGTTCTAAACATGGGTCCTTTTACTGGAGAAAGTGAGAATGAAGTAAACAATGAGAACAGTCAGGTACTGTTCAGGGCACCTGAGAAACAGCTGCATAAATGTAAAGTTTAAATTGAACTGTTCTAATCTGTTTTTCAGTGGACACGAGGGTTGAACGGAAGCAGAGAGATAAGAGTTCTGCATTATCAGTGAGTTAGGGTGAGGTGGGGAGGGAGAGAAATGAGGGGAGGGAGTTGACTCTTGTCCATGATTGTCCAAGCATGATCAGAGTGGTCAGAAAGAGCAGCATATACTGTATACTATTCTGGTGGTTGAATTGCGCCTGTGGAATAATTATATACACTATGTTAGTTTTGCCCCAATTCTGATAAATGTACAACTTCTTTCATTTTTTAATGTGCGACACATCCATGTAAAATGCATTAGATTGAAGTAGGAGGATTTATCAAAAAGTCAGTTTTCCTTATCATGTCGTCTCCGAGCGTTATACACATACTTGTTTTTTAAAACTCGAAAGTGAAGTACCAGTGGATGGGTTGGGATAAACGATTGCGTAATCCAGTGCTTTTATATGTGTGTGCAGAAGACGGAGCATTCAAACCGGAAAGAACGCAGGCGCAACAATACCTACCAGAATTTGTTTAAAAACTTTTTCACTCAACTTTAGTGATTATTCACTGAACTAACGCCATGTTGAGTAGAGATCTTCCTGACATTGAGGTAAGGTGTAAAGTAATTTTGTTTTGTTTTCTTATGTAGCATATTACTTGTATTTTACCCAATAATCTGCGTTAACAGCGTATTTCACAAATAATATTACGAATATTTGATGGTTCTTAAGTTAATATAAAATACGCAGCTGTTTTCAATAGCTGCAGAAAGTGCTGATGTCTGTGCATTAGGTAAAAACAAGTTCTGATAAGTTCTAAGGCGTTGTTTGGAATTACGCTATATTCGCTTTATTTTGAACGGGCAGTAATTTAGACATCTTAATGATAAAGAGGTCCACTCACTCAACCGGAAGTTACAGTAACATTCTTCTCTTTTCTTCTTTTTTTAATGTCATGAAATAAGTTCTGTTTTTGTTTTGTTTTTGTCTATGTTTTTTTGTTAAAACGTTCCGTATCCGACATCTTCTGTAGTGGTCAACCGCCACGTCGCCGATTACATGATAAATATAGCCTGGCAATTTTTAGTTGGTTTAATTTAACTAAGCAAAATATTATACGGTGTGACACTGTGTTAAATAGTGTAACGGGCTTTCCAAGTCAGACCATATGACATTCACTCTATACCATTTGGCATACCACCAGTGGTACACGAGCGCTCTCTGGTGGTACGCGGGGAAAATTCATATTTTCACATTTACATTTTCAATTGAATAAATCTGAAACATACCTTGCCTTAAGTAGTTAGGAGGTAGGACAATTGTGCATTGACCAGCAAATGATTCCTTTTACTGGTCGATGCCCAGTGCTCCAGTATGTTCAAGGCAAACCACACTTTTTAATTGTTTTTTGAAGTATCAATTTAAAAAAAACAATTTCCCTGGTAGTCAGGAGGCACAAATGTTAGTTCAAGTGAGAGCTAAACGTTAGATAAATGTGTTCTAAAATTCAGTAAAACAACAGATTTAAACCATCACCAGACTAAGGCTCTTTATGTAAAGTATATTGACTACTACTAAGAATACTAAACATTTTCTAAGCATTGCTGATGAGCAGATTACCTTTCGTCTGTAAAGCTCATTTTCTTATGTGTATGTTTATGATCTTTGTTGCTGTAACTCTGCGTACAACAGAGTGCAGGTGGTTTGTGGAGTGGAGAGAAAATAAATGACAGACATACAGCCTCAGTGTACTGAGAAATACGTTGCAGTAATAAGGATAACATGACCTTATATGGTTCCATGTTCTTGTGTAACCGGCCATGTGTATCATGCTGTAGATTAGTGGTGTGTTGTCCACGTGTAGCGCTTGAGAAATCTACACGATTAGAAACTGGTTGTAAATCAAACAAATATTAACTGAATTTGTTTTCTTGCCAAGATGGATCACACTACCCAAGTGATAAGTTGTGGGTATTTGACATAATAATAATATTACGTATATTTATATAGTATTTATGTTTTTACCAAACTGATCACGCAACACCAGTGCAGTGACCCCGGTGAACCCCGCTATCTGTTCACCTTGACCAGAAACAAGCAAACTTCTGAGAATGTTATTAATTTCCTCTGAACTGTTTTTATGTGTGAACATCGCTTTTGCGAGAAACATGAAACAGACGTTTGCTGCTGACACTGCAACATGATGTGTCTTTCAACACATTTCTCTCAGAACCATCATCAACTGATTTACAACAATTATTTAAATAATCTGTTGGATTTGAATACCACAGCCCAACCTTTGCTCCCCATGTGCATCAGTGATCTCAGTGTCCATGACCCTGTCACCACTGTTAGTCTTTCATTGATCCTATAATGAGTATAGTTATAGTTAACCTATAGTTAGTGACCACTTCCTGTCAGGAGAACCTCACAAGAGCTGTAGTTTTACAGATTTTCTGACCAAGTCGCTTACTTTACCCCTCACATTTCTTTTTCTGCTTTTTTAACAACAACAAAAACCTGCTGCTAAGACTGTCCTAATGAGTATTTTACAAACAGATATGAGTGCTTCACCCACCCTCCTTTATGCATTTACATCTTCCAGAGCATCCTGGCTCTGAACCCCAGGGTTAAAACGCACTCTCAGGTCATCTCCACGGCGAACAAAAAGAAAGAAAAGAAACACTGGAAGAGAAATCCAGAGAGGAACTGTGGAGTAAGTCACATACACTCTCCAAACTGTATCCTTCTTATCACTGTTGTCCTGACTATGTTTTTTTTTTCTTTCTGTCAGCCTTGTTCACAGCTGGAAAACAACTTTGATGACATCAAACACACAACACTCAGTGAGCGTGGAGCTCTGCGAGAAGCCATGAGGTATGAACTCTGACCTGTGACACTGTCACATCTTAATGAAAACTTTGATCCTCTTTTATAACCAATAAATGAAACCTTTGTGCAGGTGTCTCAAATGTGCTGACGCTCCTTGCCAGAAGAGCTGCCCGACCAACCTGGACATTAAGTCATTCATCACAAGTATTTCCAATAAGGTACTGAGCCATACAGCTGACCCACACTCTTTTATAGGCACATGCAGGACAAGTCAAAACTTCTCAACATCACTTCTAGTGAAATAGTTACACATTATTTTTATATAAATGACATGTGTGAAACCATGTGTTATGTTCTTGCCCTGTATCATGTTAATAATAAAGGGACAAATATGACCTTTGTTAATTTAATAGTTACACATTATTTTTATATAAATGACATGTGTGAAACCATGTGTTATGTTCTTGCCCTGTATCATGTTAATAATAAAGGGACAAATATGACCTTTGTTAATTTACAACTACTAAATTAGATTTTTTTTTTTTAAGGTTTTAGGACCCAGTGGGTAAAATTAACAACGTGCTTGTGTTTGCATATTAGAACTACTACGGAGCAGCGAAGGCCATTCTCTCTGATAATCCACTGGGTTTGACCTGTGGAATGGTTTGTCCCACATCAGATCTGTGTGTGGGAGGCTGTAACCTCTATGCCACTGAGGAAGGCCCCATAAACATTGGAGGGCTACAGCAATTCGCAACTGAGGTACGGAGAAATATTATATACATTCATTTTCATTTCTATTTTTACATATGCAACAACAGCGAATCATTGGAGGTTAGAGACGGTGATGCTGTGTATGTGATCTTTTTGTTGGATATCAGTGAAAGTGAGTATTTTACGACAGGCTAAAGCTAATATCAGCTTGAAAATATTTTAAGGGCTTAAAGGAAAGTTTGGGAACAGTCGTTAGATACCAGAAGTTGTGGGTTAAATCAGCTGACTAACTGCACATTGTGAAAAACGTCTATACTGCAAAATTAAGACATCTATACATGAGGAGGAAAAGTGGCGAATGTTCCTCTAAACTGGTGGAAAAGAATAGCTCAGTGGTGAACAGATTTTAGAACAGGAAATAACTTGTTTTTGAGACAAAAAACAAAGTTGGGGTTTTGGATTTTACAAAATTTTTTGTGATGTTTTTAGCAACACTTGCATACACAGTGGCATTCTCAGCACACAGCAGCAGCAGAACATTTCATTGTAATCGTGGGAATCCCTGAAGGATGAGATCAATGGAACCACACTTCTATTTCACACAAGACTACAGTTTAGTATATACAGTTACTATAACGGTATTGATTACTGTGACTTTATTTCCTACAGGTGTTCAATAAGATGGGGATCCCTCAAATCAGGAATCCTGAACTCCCACCAGCCAATGAGATGCCAGAGTCTTACCACAGTCCCATTGCTCTGATTGGCTGTGGCCCAGCATCAATTAGCTGTGCTTCCTTTCTGGCCCGTCTTGGATATGACGATATTACTATCTTTGAAAAGGGGAAGTACATTGGAGGACTGAGGTAACTTTTTGTCTTGTAACAGTAGTGATATCTAAATGTTATATCTCTGTTTTATCTGACCCAATAAGGTTTTATCATTTTTTATTTTTTATCAGTTTTTTGGCATAAAATAATAAAACAATGTTCCATTGCGTAGCTCATCAGAAATCCCCCAGTTCAGACTTCCGTATGAAGTGGTTCAGTTTGAAGTAGACCTGATGAAGGATCTGGGAGTCAAGGTAATTATTGTGCCATGTTGTATGATCTATTTCATATATTGATCCATAATGGACCAGGATTAGAAGAAGTTTTAAAAAAAGCATGTTATAACTGTTTAAATATTTAGTTGTTTTTTTTGTTAAAAGCTTGTCACATGACAACTATAAAGTTTCGTTTTAAGTAGGACATAATGTTATTGCATATATTTAGGTATTTTTAGTTTTTTTGAAGATTTGATAAATGTGTGTTTGTTGGTTTGTCAGGTGGTGTGTGAAAAGGGCCTCGGTGTTGATGGAATGACTGTGACGTCTCTAAAGAACGAGGGATACAAGGCTGTCTTTATTGGAATTGGTGAGTAAAGAAATATTAGCACCTTTTTTGACAATTCAAGGTTCTGAAAGATTATATCATTTTAATTTGCCTGTGTGTGTTTGTCTCCAGGTCTACCTCAGGCCAACAGAGCTGAAATCTTCCAGGGTTTGACTGTTGATCAAGGTTTCTTTACCTCCAAAGATTTTCTGCCCAAGGTTGCTTTAGCTAGCAAGAAAGGTAAGTCTGGGCCGGTCAGGTTCCGTGATTTGTATGTTCTAGCTTTAGTCCAACTTGAGTAATGATTCTATGGTTAAAACCTCTTTACCTCATGAACATTTAGAAATGTAAATCATCAAGTAATCTATGCATCTTGTCATCTCTTCTCGTGTAACATACAATTACAAAAGCTGTGCACAAAATGTAATGAATATTCTGCTAAAATAGATTTCAGCAGTTTACCAGAATGTATCATTTGGTGTCTGCTTACAGGTATGTGTCAGTGTCGGTCAGCACTTCCTGAGTTAAAGGGCATGGTGATAGTATTGGGCGCTGGAGACACAGCCTTTGACTGTGCCACCTCAGCTCTTCGCTGTGGAGCCAAGAGGGTGTACGTCTGCTTCAGGAAGGGGTTCACTAACATCAGGGCTGTGCCTGAAGAGGTACTGATGGGACGGATTTCCTAATTGTTATGTCGTTCACTAAGCACTTTTTCTAACATACAATTTACTGACCCTGTCTGTGTTCCACTGCCTGTGTCAGATGGAGCTGGCTAAAGAGGAACAGTGTGAGTTCCTGCCCTTCCTGTCCCCTCGTGAAGTCATCATGAAGAACGGGCGAGTTGCTGGGTTACAGTTCTGTCGCACTGAGCAGACTGACACGGGGGACTGGGTGGAAGATGAGGACCAAGTTGTGAGGCTGAAGGCAGATTACATCATCAGTGCCTTTGGGTCAATGCTGAGTGACCCTAAAGGTGAAAATCAGGTTTTGTGTTTTTAAACGAATAGTGGCCCAACAATATATTTTGAAATCAAATCAAATTCACGACAAAAAAAGCCCATCATGTGAAAACCTGTTGGCAGCCTTATTGACCGTATATAATTGAGCAGGCACACTCACATAATAACCAACACTCCCCATTTGCAGTGACTGAGGCAATGGCTCCAGTGAAGCTGACCCGCTGGGCAACTCCAGAGGTGAACACAGATACCATGCAGACCAGTGAGCCGTGGGTGTTTGCAGGAGGAGACGTGGCTGGTCTGGCTAACACCACGGTGGAATCAGTTAACGATGGCAAACAGGCCTCATGGCACATTCACAGATACCTGCAGGTACAGTATCCACCACAAAGGTCGTTGGCCCAGCAGCCCGTACTAAAATCACTACATGAAGTTAAGTGATTACCAGAATATAACATGTCCCAAACTTCTACCTTCTGTAGTCTCTGCACGGACAAACTGTTGATCCAGTCCCAAAGCTGCCATTGTTCTACAGTGCCATCGATGAGGTGGACATCAGTCTGGAGGTTTGTGGAATTAAGTTTCCCAACCCATTTGGACTGGCTTCTGCTCCTCCCACCACCAGCACGGCGATGATCAGGAGAGCTTTTGAGCAAGGATGGGGTTTTGCTCTCACCAAGACATTTGGCTTGGATAAGGTATTATATATATATATATGTATATATTTATCCAGCAAAACTAAACTGTTCTCAGTCAACATCCTCTCAGTCCTCTTACTTCTTTCACAGTATAAGGATGTATAAGCAAAGCATTTGACCACGTATTACAAACACTGTGATCTTGACATCAAGCCAATGCACAGCAAATAAAACAAACTTCCTTTTTGCTTGTCATGACTTTCACAGGATCTCGTGACCAATGTTTCACCGCGTATCGTGCGCGGAACCACCTCGGGTCCTCTATTTGGACCAGGCCAGGGCTCCTTCCTCAACATTGAGCTCATCAGTGAGAAGACGGCTGCCTACTGGTGTCAATCAGTCACTGAACTGAAGAAGGACTTCCCCAAAAATGTTAGTTTCCAGTCACAGTAGTACCACCAAGTTCTTTGTAAGTGCCTGTATGTCATTTCCTGCGTGCTTCTTAATTAGGTGGTGATCTCCAGTATTATGTGTAGTTACAATAAGGAAGACTGGACGCAGCTTGCAAAGATGGCAGAGGTGAGACTGGCCTCAAGTCAGTATCCTGGATAGTATATCCACATTTTTTAGTAAGTGATTTTAAAAAGGAACAAATATTTTTTGTTTAGAAATCAGGAGCAGATGCACTTGAACTGAATCTATCTTGTCCTCATGGAATGGGAGAGAGGGGCATGGGACTGGCCTGTGGACAGGTACACACACTGACACACACTCACGTTGTTCTAAATTTAATAATAGAACAGAAATTTCTAAACAGGACTGAACTAGGACTTGACTCAAGCTTTTTCTTCTGCGACTCCGACCCAAAACCCTGAAGACTCGACTCAGGCTAAACTCAAAGTCTTGTGTGTTTAATAATGTGTTTTTTATGTGTGTGTTGGTCATCAGGACACAGTCCTTGTGCGTAACATCTGTCGCTGGGTGCGAGCAGCCATTTCTATTCCATTCTTTGCCAAATTGACTCCAAACGTTACCGACATTGTTGACATTGCCAAGGCTGCATATGAAGGTTAACTTTGTTCTTTCTCTATTTTTTTTTCCAATTTTCAATTACGCCCAACAACATAACAAAAAAAGAGTACCTGTCATGGTGTTCTGTAGGTGGAGCAGATGGAGTCACTGCCACAAACACAGTGTCAGGGATGATGGGACTGAAGGCAGACGGCTCACCCTGGCCCAGTGTTGGTGTAGAAAAACGCACCACTTATGGAGGAGTGTCTGGTAAGAAAATCATGAAAAACATGATCAGTTTCTTACTGTCAGTGCTAATCTGCAATAGCAAAGGCAAGTATCTGAATACACTTGGACCCTGACACATTTCATCATGAAAACCTGTGTGGATGAACATAAATGTACCACAGTGTTCACACAGCAGGAGCTCTTTCCTCACTGTGCAGTTAGATCCTATCAAAACTGTGTGCAGGTAACGCCATCAGACCCATTGCTCTCAGAGCTGTGTCAGCTATTGCCAGAGCCATTCCAGGTTTCCCTGTTCTGGCCACTGGGGGCATTGACTCAGCTGAGTCTGGACTCCAGTTTCTCCATGCTGGAGCCTCGGTGTTGCAGGTGATACTTAAAATAATGTTACACCTGACGTGGTAATGTGAGTACTATCGACTTTCTGTTCTTACCATATGTGTCTGACAACATCAGGTATGCAGTGCAATTCAGAACCAGGATTTCACAGTCATTGAGGATTACTGCTTGGGTATGTGACCATGTACCTGTACTCGTGCACCTACATCAGTATTTTACGTTTTGGATGAAAATAAATTCATAACAAAGTTATGTTGGTGTTAATGACACCAACATGTTCCTAGTGTGTTCCTGGTTTTCTTGGTTGGCTTATACTTGGTACTTGGTTCTATTTTGGTTCAGGTCTGAAGGCCCTGCTGTATCTGAAGAGCCTGGAGCTGAAGAACTGGGACGGCCAGTCTCCTCCAACAGAGAAACACCAGAAAGGGAAACCGGTCCCTAGACTAGAGGACCTAGTTGGACAGGTACCGATTCTAACAAGTAGCAGTTTACCTTGTTCTGGAGTCGTAGATTCTATCTGGACTTGGTAGTAACAAGAGTATTGAAATTCTTTATTGCATGTGACTGCATCTCAGAGTTACAAGTTCTCTCTGCAAGGTCAATAGATCGTTTAAGCATTTAAGTAGACCATGGCTTGTGTGTGTGTGTGTGTGTGTATAGAGTCTCCCCAGCTTTGGCCCATACCTTGGACAGAAAAAGAAAGCTCTGGCAGAGTATAAGAAGAAGCTGAAAAACTCTGGCGATACAGATGACAAAGAAACAACAGCCTCCCGCATCAGTGCACCCAAAAAACCAGTCCCTGCTGTCAAGGTGAAACACACACTCGTGGACACACTTTAAATTGAACTGAGTCACTGCTGATTATTTGTTTACAGTCTCTGTGATTCTCTCTCACCCTCTTCCTCTGTAGGATGTGATAGCCAGAGCATTACGCTACATCGGAACATATGGGGATCTGAACAACATGGAGCAGGTATATTATTGTAAATTATAGTTATAGTTATATTATAGTAAAGTCAGTGGTGAGCCCTACTTTTCATACCTAGTGCTTTACATATCTCCTCTCAGCATTAACCAACTACTGAATAAATAGCATAATTTAGCACAGCTGCATAAACAGTCAAACAAATCAACAGGACAAGGAGAAGTAATTTCTCTAAAACGTATCATAGCATAGTTGAGGGAATTTAAATGAGCCCCGATCATAACCATCAAAGTAATGTGTGTTTTCAGGTCCAGGCTTTGATTGATGAAGAGATGTGTATCAACTGTGGCAAATGTTACATGACCTGCAATGACTCTGGATACCAGGTTTGGGATCACCCTGTCTTTTATTCTGTAATTCTTTTTTCATTTACTAACACTGTGCTTGTCCCTCCATTGTTTTTTTCCCAGGCCATTCAATTTGATCCAGAGTCCCACATTCCTTTTGTGACTGACAGCTGTACAGGCTGCACTCTGTGCCTCAGTGTCTGTCCAATCATAGATTGCATCCAGATGGTGACCAGAACAACACCATACGAGCCTAAGAGGGGTTTACCCGTTAATCCTGTCTGTTAAAGGAAGGACTGATTATAACCCTTGTGTTTGATTGCAAATGTCAACGCTTTCCATTCTGTATAATCATTTTTGCTTCATGCAGTGTACGGCATTATTCATTTTAATCAATTTATTCCATCACTTTATTACAAATTATTACAGAAATAAAATACCAATCTAAAAGAGACCAGAAATTAAAATACAACAAAGTTATTCAACCATAGTTGTTACTGTTAGTTTAAATATATGTATGATTGTTGTAATTTGTATCTACCATAACTGTCTATAATGTAAAATTTACCAATTTCCAGTTTGCCTTTTGCCAGTTATCATATAGTGACTCAAATAAAGGTTTTCTTTATGAAGCAAAACAATCCTTCGTTGATGTTTCATTTAGGGATTCATTGCAAACACACATGCATAAATAGAGTGGTCTTTTAAAAAAATTATCATTTAACCATCTGCAGAGGTTAATAATATAAAACTTCATGAAATTGGTATTTAGACCTGAACAGCAAGGTTATAAACTCTAACTTTTAGGGAATATGAAGACACAGGCAAATCATGAGAAAAGACAACACTGGGACTGGGTTCACGGGACAAGCTGAAAATAACGTCTTGTGAATAATAAAAAAGAATTGGAATTTTTTGATAAATTCTAAACGTTTTCTAAAGAAAAAAGATTTAAACTAAGTACGTATTCGTGGGGGTTTTACCGATTAGCCTCCTCGCCAGCAGGTGTCAGTAATGACGTTGGCGCTACTGTATTATGTTTCCTGTACTGTAGCCGTTAATAAGCGAGGGAAAGACAGTCTAGATTGCTCACGCTGGTAAGGTTCTGAATAAAACTGAAATATTAAAAGGCAGACGAGAACACAGAGCGGCAATGGACGGGTAAGTAAATGTATTTTATTTATAAAGTAAATTTGAATATTTGGTTAGCTGTGGTCGTGACAGAGAGAGACTGTGTCGCCTACCCTGCTAACTGTAAACTGGGCGTTAAGCTGGAACTGTGACGTTGTAACAATGTCCAGACCGAAATAAAAAAAGAGCGATTTATTGCTGTTCTCATGTTCGCAAATTTACTTTTATGACAAAACGTTGTCATAAAATAAGTTTGACACACTGACTAAGTACAGAAATTGGTTTGGAAATCGTGAATCTGCTGGAAAATTGGACATTTAGCTTGCATTTATATTAAATTAAACTTTATTGATATATCGGGAAATTGAGCAAATTGTTACAATTCCATTAATATCAAATGAAAATTTGTCTCTTATGGTTAGAATGAAAAAAACAAAACAACAATAGCTGTCGACCGGTTAGCATCCTTTGTCTGTGCAGCAGCAGGTACGGTATACGGTGAGAACGCCGTCTAGCGAATACAAATGCACAAATGACGAGTAGAATTAAATAAATATTATTGAACCTTAAAAATAATTCAGAAATAAAAAATATAAATATATTTTACTTCTAACATTTAATACTAGCTTCGGGATTCTTAAACATTATATTTCCTGGGACCGTCTGTATTCATCATAGACACCATTGTTATTATTACTATTATTATTTTAGACATGCTAAATTACTGCATTTTTGAAAATGTTATTAATGGTTGTTTTGTGTGTGTTATTAACTCTGTTCTTTGTCATCTTCTATCACCCTTCACCATATCCACTGATAGAGATGTTGCGGTCGGTGTGAAGGCAAGTAGTCTTTCATTAGTCCTTAAAAATCAAACGCGTATTTCTAACATGTTTTTTTTTTTTTTTTTAAGTACCAGTTTTTTGTGTTGTGGTTTCAGTAATTAAATCTGATCTGGTTTATCTTTATAAACAAATACTGTTTCTTTGTTGTGTTGGTAAGATTAAGTATGATTGTACATATGTTAATTACTATGTGATAAATATATGGGTTTTTTTGTTTTTGTTTTTTCAGAGAGGCTCAGACGAGCTCAACATGTATGGTAGCAGTCCCAGCTCTATGACAGGTGGGCTCAATAGTTAAAGTAGTTTGATAAGCAAGCATATTGAAAGCTAAAGCTAAAAAAAAAGTCTCTTTAAGTATACATTACCAGAAAAAAATTAACAGCATGTGCATTAAAGCCATCAATATTACTATAATACGTCAATAGTTTTCTGTACACTGTAAAAAATAAATATAAACAAAAAAAGATCCTTTATAAACCTTTGCTTTTGTGTGTCTGTGTCTGTCTACATGCAGCCAATGGCAGCGACAGTAAGAAACAGCGTCTGGATGAAGCCCCTCCATCCAAAGTTCTTCACATTAGAAAACTTCCCAACGAAGTGTCAGAAACTGAAGTCATTGCTCTGGGGCTGCCTTTTGGAAAGGTCACCAACATACTGATGCTCAAGGGGAAAAACCAGGTGCCATTTAACACTGACTGTAATTATTGGCCTTTAATAAAAGTAGAGAAATTCAGTGTTAATAATTTGTTTTTGTGCAGGCGTTTTTGGAGTTGGGCACAGAGGAAGCAGCCATTACTATGGTGAACTACTACACAGCTGTCACACCACAGGTATGAAACACATCTTTGTCCGTGTGGTCTTGATATTATCTGTGATATACTGCATCTGTGTGAACTGTATGTGGACTGGGTGTGTTTTCTGTGCAGGTCAGAAACGCATCTGTTTTCATCCAGTACTCCAACCACAAGGAGCTGAAAACAGACTCGGCTCTTAATCAGGTACATGCCTACACACACACAAACACACACACTCTATATGCTCTAGATATTTTGATTCTGTGACATCACACGGCTAAAGTGGTGTGCATAAGCCAAGGATGCCACTTTCTCAACATGTATTCATGACTCTCCACCCAGAGAGCCCAAGCAGTACTACAAGCAGTGTCAGCTGTTCAGGATGGAGGCTCTCCATCTTCTGACCCAGGTGCTCTGGACCTTGCTCCGCCACCCAGTCCTGTTCTGCGAATTATCATCGACAACATGTTTTACCCAGTGACGTTGGATGTGCTTCAGCAGGTACAAACCTAAACGCTTTGATCACAGATTAGCGTGAGCTATAAAATCAGAATTTTCTCTCAAAGCAGAGCCCAGAAGAAATTGATATAAATAAATTTATAAGTATTCGCTACATCATCTGGAATCACCTTTAGCAAATCCACAAAGCAAAAAAAACAGTCACAATGTCAGATACAGTAATAAAAAGCCTTAATGTTTACAACATGTAGTGACCTTTATTTCTTTCTGTCTGTCTGATGTAGATCTTCAGTAAATTTGGGACAGTGATGAAGATCATCACCTTCACCAAGAATAATCAGTTTCAGGCTCTGTTGCAGTTCAGTGACCCTGTCAACGCACAACAAGCTAAACTGGTACGCTCCTGTGTTTACATGTAAACGTCAACTCGGCCGTTCATGTACATCACACCGGTAATTCTCTCTCTCTCCTTTCACTCCTGCACACCAGTCTTTGGACGGACAGAACATTTACAATTCCTGGTGTACGTTAAGGATAGACTTCAGCAAACTGGTCAACCTTAATGTGAAGTACAATAACGACAAGAGTCGAGACTATACCAGGCCCGATCTTCCCAGTGGAGACGGAGAAGCAACTAACAAAGACCATTCTCTACTGGGTGAATATGCTGCTCCAGAAACTGCCTTTTCATCATCTACAGACACAATAACCACCATGTTTGTTCAGCCTGGAATTAATGGCAAATTTTATATACACAGTAGATGTAACCAAAACAAATCCAGATATCACAGTTCACCATAAACACTGCTACATGTATATGGAATTGCTAGTTCATTGAAGTCAAATTAATTGTGGAAACACTAGAGACGCTTAAAGAGATAAACTCACACATCGCTGACAACAGACTTTCAGTTTTTCATTAATTAACATTTTTGTTTATGGATTTTTTTTTGTTTCCACACAGGTACTCCATCTGGAGCTCTAGCTTCATACTCCAGTGGAGGAGGTTACTCATCATCTCTCTCCCTCTCTCAGAGTGGAGGTACTTTTATTTTATTCCTATTTTCCTGGAACTGAAACAATGTCATTTCTCATCTTTGGTCTTGTAATTTGACTGTTCTTTCAACTCAAGTTGCAGCCAACGTTGATTTATTTACGATGTCATTCTGACCTGGTTTTATTTTGTCTCTGTCCAACAGGAGCCATCAGTCCACTCAGTGCTGCAGCAGCAGCAGCAGCTGCCGCAGGTCGAGTTGCTCTGTCTGGCTCCGGTGTGTCAGGAGTGCTTTTAGCGTCCAACCTAAATGAAGAGGTACGATCATCATAAATATGTAACGTGATGCTGAACAAGCTCTTAATTAAGTACACATTTTTAAGGGACATTATTTACCGAAGTAACAGTGTGTGTGGATGAATTCCTATGTGGATGTGTGAGTGTTTTCCACACTGTCCAGCACAGATGATCACACACTTCCATCGAGTATGAGCCCACATTAATTTAACATATCAAAGGTCAAATGACTGCACTCTATGTTTTGCATAATTTAGTGAAACAATTAGACAAACCATCATTATATCGTTCTTCGTATTTATGGGTTTTAGCTTTGGTTGATCCTGTGTCCAAACAATTATTTATGAATTTATAGTAACACCATCACTCATGTCTGCTTGTGTGAACCCTCTCTGCTCGTTCCACTCTTCCAACAGGGCAGTTCTTTCTGTTGCCCTGTGATGACCTCACACCTTTGCTGAGACACCAGTCTTGTCAAAGGTGGTTTTTAGATTTCTGTCCCTCTGCGACACCCTGTGGTTGCAGCAAATATAACATGAACAACTGTATTTATTTTTAACAACCAGTTAATGCAGTTTGTCGGTTTTTGGCTGTTGTGAAAAGCATCATTTCCAGTGCATGTTCGACAACAGTCAGTCTAATAACACTGTAATTTATCATCTACATTTTCAGACTAAAATGATTTATATATTTGACTGATTGGTAGCTGACAGTTGTACTCCACACTGGACATTAACAAGAGCAAAAAGTGGGACAGGCTGTGAAACATTGTGTTTACAGCAGATGGCAGTGTTGGTCCTCACTCCTCAGGTTGAGGTAAACAGTACTGCAATAATAACTGCTGCCTCCAGTAGGCAGTGTGCACATGAAGTGTTTGGCTGTGAGGAGAGCCTACTGTAAATGTACACATCAGTGTAGTTGGCTGTTTTTAATTAGCCTGTTAAGCTAACGGTGCAGCTTATGCTACAAGACATTGGTAGAAATCTGAGTCAGATGACACATTTCTGAACCTTTTCCTCGGAGTAGGTGATCATGTCTACTACTGTCAGGCTTCTTAATAATAATAATTATGATAATACTATATTATATTTTTATAGGCACCTTTCTAGCACTTAAGGACATGATGCCATATTTTGGTTTACATTTAATCTAGAGGAAAGTAGATGATAGAGAGTGGCCTGTGTGTGTATATTTATTCTGATTCCAGCTAAAATCTTGATCGATTTTATTATTATTATTTGATATTTTTGTATCCTAGAAACCCCAGTGTGGTTTCGCAGACTGATACTGTACTTTCCTGTGAACGTTGAGTTCTAGTCACTGGTGTCGTACAGACAGTTTTGGTGCCAAAGATGAGAATCAGACAAACGTAAACGAAGCACTGACTCCACTGGGCTCTTTTTTCCAGGCTGATCAGTGACATGAAGGTCCAGATTACAGTACATGTTATTTGAAAGTTTTTTTTTATTATTATTATTATTCTGTTTTGTCACTCACTGAAGAACGAAGATCACATGACCACGTGTCCTGCTGCAGAGACACTGACTCCTGTCTGTTGACTTCCATCTCTTATTGAATATGAAATATTTCTCTATCTTCCTGTCGTTACTGTCATCGATAACTGCATCCGGCCGTGTGTGTGTGTGCGTGTGTAGTAGTGCATGTGTGTTTATTTCTCTTTATATATACGGAGTGTATTGCAGTAAGTGTGTGTGTGTTTGTGTTTGATAACAAACCAGCGATCATTCAAACTCCATTGATGTCCCACTGATGCTCTGTTTACTGACCTCTGCTTTGGTTTTTGTCCTCCTCTCCTCCTTTCTCCCTCCCTCCTCTCCTTACCCACCCTCCCCCGCCCCACTACTCCTCCCTTTGCTCATTTCCTCCTACATTTATACTGCATTTTACCATCAATGTTGGACAAACTCCTTCACACACACCCCGTCCCCTGATGTATATTTACCTACATTTGCTGACTCTCCCCCACTCCTCACTTTAATTATTATTATTATTATTAATATTATGGCCAAAACTGACGTTGGCTTTGCTGTTCTGACCAAACCCCACTATGCCATTGATCTTTGCTCCTCTCCTCATCATCACGGACACCACCACCTAACCCCTCGTCCAACGCTGGACGGTCTGATCTCTACCTTCGTCTCTCCTTCTTCCTCCTCCTCTGCTCCTCCTCTTCCTGTCCTCTGCTCTGCGGTCTCTCTCTCTAAAGATGGTCACGCCTCAAAGTCTCTTTACCCTCTTCGGTATGTTCAAACCTCTACTATTCTATCTGTTTATTCTCTCTATTCTCTTGTTAATCCAGTTGTGCTCAGTTGTCTCCTACAATGTTGTGGAGGCGACTGTTACTCTAAATGCTGCTCCGTCTCCCTGCCTGCCTGACTCCACTGTGTTGTACTTGGATGTGCTTTGTCAGCTTTTTACTCCAAACAGACGAGAACAGAGACACCAAAATACTTCATGGGAAATATTCATTAGAGGCTGACTATGTTCTCCTGCTCCTTCAGTTTACAGTAGCTGCCTTACAGGGGGACACACCTGGATGTAGAGCAGATCAACTCATGTAAAACTATTGACAGAGCTTCACAAAGAACTGTCAGAGAAAAGGAGGTCGAACCAGTGGTCGCTCTATCGAACCTTCTCTGTCTCCCTCTCTCTGCTACATCCTGTTGCCTCACTTTAACAAAGTTGGTCTTAAACCACGGCCATTTATACATTAAAAAACCCCAAACATTTCCAGCAACACTTTTCAGTGAGAGATCTGTCTGTTTCAGCCTGTCTAAATGTCAGTACTTTCCCACATTAACGTGTTTCATACTGCAGTAAATTGTGTTGAATGTTTGTTTACCTCTGGGGCCTCCAGCCTGCACTGTGTTACATGATAGAGATTTAGGGGTTTTTTTTTAGTGGAAGTCAAATCTGAAGATTCCGTCTCTCTTTTCATTTGTCTTTCCGGCACTAACTTTTTTCCTTCCATCCTTCACACCTCTTCCTTTTTTATCTTTGTCGGCCTCTGCTGTTCTGACTCTTCTGTCCTCCTCCTTGAGTCCTCTGCTCTCCTGCTCCCTCTCTCTCTGTCTACCTCTACCTCTCTACCTCTCTCTCTCTCTCTCTCTCTCTCTCTCCCTCCTTCTTTCAGGCGTCTACGGTGATGTCCAGAGAGTAAAGATCCTGTACAACAAAAAGGACAGCGCTCTGATCCAGCTGTCTGACGGCAACCAGGCTCAGTTGGGTAAGTTCACCTACACGGGCTTAAAATTAAAGTTTATTTACATGATTTGGACCAAAAAAATCTGAATTAATGTAACTTTACTTAGAATTTGAAAGAAGAAAGCTAGTTTCCAAATTCAAAACAATAAAAAATATCTTAGGAGTAACTCCTTTTATCAATAATAGAAGGTGTGACTGTATTAATGAAGCTCGTTCATTTATTTTTTATTTTCCCAATCGCTCCTCTGTAGCCATGAGCCATCTGAACGGTCAGAAGGTTTTTGGTAAAGTGATGCGAGTGACGCTGTCCAAACATCAAACTGTGGCTCTGCCCAGAGAAGGACTGGACGACCAGCTCCTCACTAAAGGTCTGTACGTGTGTCGATGTGGTGCTCGTCAGTGAAAGGCTCTAAAAAATGTCTCAGCACAGCTTGACTTTTATGATTATTTTTTTTATCAAACACAATTTGATTTAAGTAAAAGTATCAACAGTGACACTAATTAAAACCTCTCTAAAAATGGAAAAATCAAATCATCTTTTTTTTTTACTCTTCAGATTTCTCTGGATCTCCACTTCATCGCTTCAAGAAGCCAGGGTCTAAAAACTTCCAGAACATCTTTCCTCCCTCCTCCACACTTCATCTCTCCAATATCAGGTCAATAGTTACTCCACACGTACTAAAGTATCCTCTGCTGTTTGAACCAGTTTGGCACAGATGGTCTAAGAGTTTGACTCATGCTGCTTTGTTTCTCTTTTCTTTTCTTTTTTTGTCTTAAACAGAGAGGGCGTTGGTGAGGACGATCTCCGTCTTCTGTTCTCCAACAGTGGAGGAACCGTCAAGGCCTTCAAGTTCTTTCAGTAAGAAAAAAACCATCTGACAACAAGTTCTCCTTCACCACATCTGTAAATCTTTTCTCATCCCACCTGCCTCATCTTCAGTGTCATCTCCAAACATAACCATCTACAGAGTCTACAGTTTACCTGTCCATCACCATTCCAAAGAAAACAATCAGAGCTGACCCCTGGTGTGACCCCAGTACTGTCTTCATATGTGTCCTGCCTTGCAAACAAAAGTCCATAAAAATGTATACATCCACAACTATGAAATGGAATAAACATATGACTGCTGCTGTTACACAAGTCAACCAATAGAGGGAGCACTAGCACATTTTTCTTGTTTTTACATGTTGTACCACTTTATAATCTTGGTCTCCTGTGCTGCCTCCACGACATGCTAAAGTCTTGTCCTAATCTGATTTGACTTCCTGGCGTCATTTCCATCAACTGTACATTTCCTGTCTTTTTTCCTGCTAACTCTGACTTCTCTGCTCTTGGCTCACAGGGACCGTAAGATGGCCCTGATTCAGATGTCGTCCGTAGAGGAAGCGATTCAAGAGCTGATTAAACTCCACAACTACGACATGGGAGGAAATCACCATCTCAAGGTTTCCTTCTCAAAGTCCACCATCTGACGCTCGTCACCAGAACAGCCACAATCCTGACGTCCCTGCCGTTCTCCTTCTTTGATTTGCCGTTCCCTGACCTCGTGTCTAGTCATACACTGTCGTTCTTTCTATTTACAGGCCAAAACGTCTGAGCCTGAAGTTAAAGTAAACATTTTATATTAGCATCTAATGCCCGCTGACCTCTGTTGGCCGGTGTGATGATCTGCGCTTCTCTCACTGGACAGAACGGCAACAGGTTTGATTTCGATCTTGTTTGTAGTTTGTTATTTTTCTCAAACCTTGTCTGCAGGACAACAACTCACAGTCGCCTTTGACTCAACACATCACACTCTCTTTGTCTCTGATTCTCCCCCGACATTGAACAATCAAAAAGAAAACATTGGAAATAAATAAATACATTTCACTGAAGATTCAGACATTTAAAATAAGACTGTTTCACACACACACACAGCTCCCTTCTCTTCTTACTGACGTAGTTGTTCTGTGTTTTCTGACATATTTGAAACATTACAGGCAGAAGCACAAACGACTTTAGGGTGACAGATTAAGTCTCACTCACTGAGCTACAGTTACCTCACTATTATGTCATGTTTTAAAGGTGTAACATTTCTCAAAACCAAACTGCCACTGAAATGAAAGTTCTGTTTTGAAGTGTACCATCCAGTTTATGGTGAAGTTTTGAGACTAATTTAAAAAAATTATTAAAACTTCTTCCACTTTTTGCAACATTTTTTTGCACGACCGTTACACTTGCACTGTTTGTTTATGATAAAAATTGTTTCTTTAAATGTGTTCATCACGTAGAGCAGCGGTCCCAGTAATTTGAATTCTATTTAACAAATTAAAAGTGTATTTATTGTTTGTCGCCTTAGTTCTAATTACATAGAGTTTAGCAAAAACTATTTTAAAATTTTCTGCATTATTAGAAAAGTCAAAAATCGTAGATTCTTTTGAATAATTTTTGAATTATTGAATATACCAAACCTAATTCTCTAAACACTTAAACCACAGCCAGGTGAGTATAAACACAAGTAGACAGGGCTAAAGTTATGTTTTATTTTTAGCAACAGAAATAAAACTTGAATATAAAATAATTTTAGTAATATTTTTATTTGTATCTTGTACAGTGTCCAAAACGACATCCAATGTCTTTTTTTATTGGTTTAATTGAACTGAGTAACAGCAAAAAAAATATTAAGTCCCATGCATTGTCTCTCTCCTGCCGCCAGACATCAGTTTGGCTGCAATACCTTCAATATCCGCTAGAGGTCAGTGTGAGACAAGGTTTTATGACCAGCGTCTCTGTGCCCTGAAACTAAGGAGAAAAATCAATCAATTGAAGGTAAACTAGCTGCAAACATTTGAACTAATCCAGCTTTAAGTTTGTGCACAGACATAAATAAAATGATGACACTTACCAATGATGCTGGAGACACTGTTTCAGTTCAGTTAAAAATAAAACCAGGCATTTTAAAAAAAAAAAAGATTATATTTCTTAGAACTTTCTGACACAGAGACAAGTGGGACAGCAGACAAATGACAAGTGACACAGGTGGAGTCTCTCAGGTAATCACAGTGGAGGGAGTGGAGAGAAGGAAGAAGGCAGGAAGAGGAGGAAGGAAGTCAGGCAGAGGATCCATGCTGTGGTGGAGCTGCTCCTCCCCCCACATACCTCCATTGTCTTCACCCAGTCCTAGATGTGGTGGGGGAGGGGACAGTGGAGTGGGGGCTGCTGTAGGTCATCAGTGGAGCAGGAACTACAGTTGATGCACACACACACACACAGAGAGAGAGAGAGAGCAGAAGGTCAGAGATGTTTCTATGAACAGCAGGTCTCCTCCCAGCAGTCACTGGGTGAAGGCTGACTCCACCCTGGACGGTCCAGTCTGTCACTGAGCCACATGTAGAGACAACCGTTCACACTGACATTCACACCTACGCTCAGTTCAGAGTGAATGATTCTGATCCTGCAACAGTCAGCGACGCGACCGGGATCGAACCTCGAGGCCTGGTCCCTGCTGTGTGACAGGAGCTCTGACCACTGTTCCACCGTTATGACTCATAGAGGAGGTGGTGGTATAAATTATGCACAGGCTGTAGAGTCCTGTGGGAGTTATATACCCATATATATATATATATGTGTGTGTGTGTGTGTGTGTGTGCAGGTTCTGGTCCATGTCTGTGGTGCAGCAGCTGTGAGTTTCAGTTACAGTAGATAGAATCAGCTGCTCCTCATGATCTATATTCAGGGGTCACCGTATGTTATCATCCCACCGTCCCCTCCATCCATCCATCCATCCATCCATCTCTCCTCTCGTCCATCTGAAGTCCCTCACTCCCTCAGCCAATCAATACCTGATGTCAGGATGAGGTAAGTGATGACTTCAGAGTCATTAAGCCACATGATAGGCTTACAAGGTCCCATCAGCAACTACAGCTGCCAACCGTCCGACTCAGACACCCTGGGTCGTATTTCAGCAGACACACACACACACACACACACACCGAGGCCCTCTGAGGATCTCATTTCCTGCCATAGAAATTGATTTTTCCCCTGCAGACCACACAGGGCTGATTCATATCTGCACTGATTTAGATGAGATGAACTGAATGGGATGAAATGAGATTAGTCTGAGAAATGAATTAGAAATGAATCAAAGAGAAAACTCACGCACAGACAGACAGACAGTTACGTAACGACGGCGGTGTACAGTGTGAATGCGCGTGTGAACGGGAGACGTTTCAGCCAACGCCGTAATGGAGTTTTAA